CCCCCTCCCCAAAATGCACAACATCCCCCGGTCTATACATACAATTGTCATTGCCGATTTTTTTTTTTTTTTTTTTTTTTTTTTTTTTTTTTATTAATGAAAGATACTTCTTTTATTTTTTGGTTGTTGACAAAGTTTTCTCTCATTTATGGCCATGTGTGTTTAATTTGCGTGTTTGTGCACGCTTGCATCTGCATTCTTTATGAATTCCAAAAAAAACGACAAAACCAAACATATATAAACGGGTTGAGTGTGTGTGTGTGATGTGTGTTTGATGGAAATATTCGTTTCTTTTTCTGTTGGCTTCATTATTTCATTTATTATTATGTAATTTTTTTTGCAGTGGTTGTTATGAATCTATCATTTCTATACGTAATGTTTTTATGAATAAAAAAATGTCGTTCCAATTGAAACATTCATTACTTGACATTATTTTTTTGATTATTATGATGATTACGATGATGATCGATTCATCTTGTTCTATTCGTAATAATGTTCGATGTGTTTTAAATGGAAATACTCGAAGATGTATTAACGATGGTCCTGGACATCATCATCATCGTAACCAGAATCATAATCCTGATGAATGCAATGTTCGACCCAATTTAAACTTTGATAATGACAACAACAATTTCAATGGTGGCAGATTAGGTGAACCTTATAAACCTTCTCTTTGGCGAAATCGAATTAATAACAATAATAATAATAATAATGTGACAAATCGACCATTGGATTCATGGCCTGGACAAAATCATTGGAATTCAAATCGAATGAATAATCATAATAGTGGTGGTGGTGGCGGTAATAGTCATTCTAATCAAAATAATAATGGCCACGATGGAGATTCATCAAATCAGAATTCCAATCAAGTAAAAAACAATATGAATAATCCGAATAGTAGTAATAATGGCGTTAATTCTAACAAAAACAATAACAACAAAAACAATGGCAATAGTAATAATAAAGATATCACTACAACTGAATCAATCAATGATATTGAAAAATTTTTAGTTGGTCGTCGAAAACGTCGTCGTCGACGACGTCGTAATGCATTGTGGATGAATCCAAGCCTTTTTATTCATCGTGGAATTGGCCGTAGTTTATCGAATGGCTATAGTCATAATAGTGATGATGACAATGAAACAAACGATGATTATGAAAATAACAATAATGAAATGAGTGATCATGGAGTTTATGATCGAAATAATGGCAATAATAACAACAATAATCATTATTATAATAATCGATTTAATGGAATTCGAACGAATAATATTCGAGATTATTGGGATCGTTTTGGCAATGGTATCGATCACGAACAACAACGTGATCGTCAACGTGATTCATCATCATCATCATCGATGATGAATAATCAACAATATCCGATTCGGCCATTCTTTTCATTACAACAAACACGAACATTTCCGTCATCAAGACGTTCTTTTCGTTGGTTTTAATAAAAAATCTGATTTAAAATTATAAAAAAAACATTTATAAACATATAACTAACAAAATCATACACTTCATAGAACATCAATGCAAATGAATTCATTTGTTATTATCATTGAAATTTTCCATTTCCATAATACATTCTTTTCGACTATAAATTCGTGAACAAAAAAACAAATAAATGAATTCGGTAAAAAGAAATTAATCTAAGTCATCAATTTGATTATAGATTATTCAATGTGTCGAATAATGACAAAACTAAAATCAAATTATATTCGAATGTCAATAAAGATTCTTTTTATTGCTAATCGTTTCAATTTATAGCTAAAACAAACGTCTTAATCTTGAACAAAAGAATGAAAAAAAGATAATTAATCATTTAAATTAATTTTGTATCTTAGGATTATTTTTTTCTTTTCCATTTGTTCTTCAGATTTTCGATCATGACCGATCAATCTGCTAAATCGATATATCATATAAAGATAAATGTTTACTTCACAATGAAAGGATCATGTTTTCTTTCTTTCTTATGAATTCCGAATATAATGATGCCCTTTGTGTTTTGTTTATGCAGAATATGATCATTAAATATGATCATTGGTCATTTGGTTGAATCATTTGAATCAGTATTTTTATAAAATAGTTTACATGTTGATTGGTTGCGGTTTTTTTGGTCATATTATTATTTATATTATAATCATCAAATTTAAATGCAAATTATATCATTCAAATTGATGATTTTATGAAAAAAAATGATTTCCATATATTTTTTCTCTTATGCCCGAAAAATTACCGCCACTAATAACACGCAAACCATTTCAACAACAATAACATCAGCAAATTAAAGAAACTTGAATTCATTTTATAGGATTTTCATTATTATTTGAAAAAAAGGTATCAACGGCATATTTCTTCCTGTAACATTGAAATTGTATTGGGCATCTGTTTTATATATTCTGTTTTTTTTGTTGCTGTTATTATTGTTGTTTTGATGAAAATTGTCCTTTTTGTTGATGTTGGTGGACCAATTTATTCACTGCGAACAATCATTCGAGTATTTTTTTTCATCCAATTTTATTTTATTCTTTTCTTTTATTTTCTCATCACAATTGTTAAGCGCCAATCTCATGTCAGGTAAATTTAATGATGATGACGGCAGATTATTATTTTGCATATTATTTTTAGTTATCACTATTATTTGTAATGATGATGATGACTCTTATTCTAAACAAGTTGAAATGATGATTCGACCAAAACATCAAAACGATTATAGAAAATACGATAATTATATTGAAATCATTTGATTGTTATCAAATTGAAAATATCGATCAATTCAAAAATCTTGACCTTTCTTTTCAAACTTTTCAAACAAATTGAAATGTGTCAATTACTTTGGTTAAAGTGTATTATGCGGAAACATCTTGATAAATTTGCATATGATGATGATTATTATTCTTTTTTTTCTTTCTTGAACATCATCATCATCAGGTAAGTCAGTAAGTCAGTCGGTGTAGTAAAATATGTTCACATGAAATTTGCAACATTCTTGAAGATCTGTGTGTCTGTGTGTTTAAGTGACTATCGTTTTTATCTTTGGTTACATTACAGTTGTCGATTTGGCAACTGATTTATCTTCATTGTTGATAACAATTTCATGTTCACTTTTATATCTTTATTACAAATTGAACAAAACAAGAATTTAAATTGAATTCAATGATGAATAAATTGTCATATTTTCCCAATTTAATTTGAACAAATTTTTCAGTATTTTTTTCTCTAAAAAATCAATTTTGTATTGTGTAATACAAACAATCAATGGCAAACTAGAACAAAAGGTCGATGAATTTTTTTGCTGTTTTTCGTTTTTTTATTCTTGTTTTTCTTTTTTTTCAAAAATTCTCCCATGAGTTATTCATTAAATTCATTTCTACTCTATACCATATATGTGTGTGTTATATATAGGTTGTATGGACATTATCTTGTCTTTGTGATTGTCATTTGAAGTGATGTTCCGGTTACATAATAATAATATTCATTCAATGAAATAATTAATCATTATTTGAATTCATCGAGTTTTTTCTTTCTGTCTTGTTTGTTAAAGTACATTTTTTTCAGATATTTATTTCAATTTTCTCTCATGATATTTTTTTATCAAATATAAAAATAATATGTTCCATTACCATCTCGTATATGTTTATTCACAATTCACACCCTCATTTATTCATTCATTGGATGTTACAGCCGTTGTTGTTGTTGTTGTTGTTGATGATGATGATGAGAGTATTCCATTTACCCAATTCCCTTTGTCATTATCATGATTATGAGATAATGTTTATAATTATTTCAAATGATAATAACCAAAAAACAAACAAGCATAACGCATACGTATTCACATCAATTTTCTTAATTACCATACTTTTTTTTTGCAAATAGATGGAATCTATTTTAATTTTTTTCCTACATGCAATGATTTAAATGATAAACAATATCAACTACAAAAAAATTCATTGTCAATATTAATGTGAAAATTTAAAATTGTAACTTTTATAAGATGCAAAATTTGAAAAATTTCAAGAAATTGAGAAACAAATGTCTAAACTTTCTTTATGCAACTTTGTGCAACCATTAATATCAATTGAAAAAAACAGTCCGGATAGTGATAATTAATCAAATGAATAGAATACATAATATGATTTTGGTTTATTTTATCAATTCAAATCTAAAGATCAGAATCAAATCCAAGCAAATTATTCATTCATAAAGATTTTGTTTGTTTGAGCTGCCAATGTCAAAATAGGAAATAGACGAAAGATTTTCTACGGTCATGATAATGTTATATCTAGAATAATGATGATGAAGAATTGTTCAATTTTAATTCATTATAAATAATCCGATCTAATAATAATTGATTGATTGATCGGTCGATCGATTCATATAGATTAAAATGTTTGTTCATATTTGGATCTTACTGTTCTTGTGATTAAAGAGTAGAAAAAAACATTTTGACTATAGGTCATTGTCCAATCAAAGAAGAAGAAAAAGGAAAAATGATCAGGATAAAACAAGGATAGGTCGGAAAATCTTTTCTACTACCTACTTAATAATAATAATAATAAAGACCATATAATCTGGATCTGAAATCCTGAATGAAGAAGAAAGTCTGCTCTTCATCATCATCATCATCATGATTATGATGATAAAAAGAGTCCGACTTAATCATTCGGTACACCATCATCGATGAATGAATTCGACCACAATGGGTCCAATGTTCTTTAATGTCCATCACATATAAAACATACGATCACATCATTTAGTTATTGTTGTTGAACAATGATGAACAAATATCAACCTTGTTCGGATACATTCAAAACTACTTTTTATTGTTGTTAGTGTTTCTAACTTTTCGTGAACACTACCAACAAAATAAAAAAAAAATTCAAAGAGAAAAGAGAATACTAGACGTTGACCAAGATGATGTTAATATACACATCGTATCGAGGGTATAAATAATAAAGAGTTGGTTGAAAAAAAAATCTTACAATTTACACAAACGAGAAATTAAAAAAATTCAACAGCCGACAAACCCGGGATCATCAATTCTTCGAAATCGTTGAATGAGAATTTCATGAGTGTTATCTATCCATACACTGATATGGATGTACAATGGGTTCGTCTATAGAAGATCCGAATGACTGAATTGCTGCCATACTTTGACTTTTTCTTTTTTCTTGATTGTTGTACTTTTTTTTTGATTTTAATATTTATGTTGTTGTTATTGGTTGGATGCCCAGTCAAATGGCGGTAAGGAATTGAAATTTTATTGTGATTTTCAAGTTCATTCCATACATTTGAAAATAATTCATCGTATGTGTGTCTGACATTTATTGATATTGTTTGAATTCATCTAATTCTATTATTTTATTTTTCTATCAAATGCTTTCAAATGGCAATCCGACGAAAACAACAGCAACAACATGATCCTCATAATACATTAATTCTAATGATAATCAACGTCGTAAATTAAGTGTTTTAAGATTTTTTATTTTTCATTCCACATCATAAGGTATCGTATGTGTATGACTTTGGTTGCCTGTGTGTTTCGGTATTGTTCATTAATTTTACTGTATATTCTTGTCTGATTGAAAGAATTTCGTATCGGTCGAATGAACTAACATCACACAATTTTTTTTTGTTGCATTTATTGTCTTTGTCGATTGACGATGAAATTTTGTGTTTACGATTAAAAGTTAATGAACTTAATACGTATCATCATCATAATTTTAATTGTTATATTGTTGTTTTTTGTTATGTAAGTGTCTAAATTGGCGAATTTTTTTGTCGATGATAATGATGATGATGATGATAAAAGTAGTGAAAATGGAATTCCTGATGACATTTATATGTTCAAATAAAACATACATGAAATGACAACAATCTACATTCAATCTAATTCGACATCATCATTATCATCATTATGAACGTTAATTGATGTTTGTCGATCTTTTTACGATCGATCTGTTCTTTTTTCCTATTTGAATTGTTCAATTGTTATTTGTTTTTGGTCTGAATGAATGTACAATTTATGAAAGTGTGCGGTGAAAATGTATAGTCAACAAACATCGCTAAATGATAGAAAATTGTTTGTAATACATTTTTCATCATTGTCATCGGCGATGGTAATGATTGTCATCATATACCATTCAATATGTTCAATCGTTCAAACATCGGCTGATCAATATTCTATACAACAAACAAGTAAGTTTCTTTCAATTCAACATATACTAAATTTCGATTTTATTCAACCAACATTGATGATTTCAGACCAATCAAAACAGAATTCTAATTGTAATTTCATAACATTTCTCATATATGATGGATATGAGTATGTTATCACAGACAATAAAAATGATTATCAAATACAATCATCAAACTTAATGCCTCTCATATTGACAACAACTGAAAGCAATCTTCATGATTGTCTGAGCTTATGTCGAGATCGTAATGAATGTAATGGAATCAATTATAATGGAGATCAATGTCAATTAATCACCAATATTGATGATGATACTAATCGATTGATTAGATCAAATCATTCTACTACTATTGATATTCATGCCAAAAAGATTTGTATATCAGGTATGATCATCAAAAACAACATGATGAACAAAAGCTTTTTCATCATTTGATTTTTTTACATTCATAGATCAGTATGGTAATTGTGCAGGAAAACCATGGGCTTTTGAAACAGTTATTGGATATACGATGAGTTATCCTACTTATTTTCATAATACAATTGTAAAACGGATCATGATTAAAAATATTGCATCTGTACAAGAATGTAGTGAACGATGTTTAAATGAAATGAATTTTCATTGTCGTTCAGTAGTATACAATGAAATTGATCAACATTGTATTCTGTTCAATATGAATCGTCAGACTATTGGTTCATCGAATCACATCAAAACGGACGGGCTTAAATTTGTGCCAACAATACCATTTACAAAACAAGTACATTATATTGAGAATAAATGCATTGAAGAGCCAAATAAATTTTGTGATTTACGAAAAATCAAAAAATTTAAATTGAAAACAGCCGATTTAATCAAGATGAATGTCAACACACCAAGCGAATGTCGAGAATTATGTCTTTCAAACAGTGTAACTAATCCTTGTAAATCATTTGATTTTGATTCATCTCATGGGATATGTCGTATCAGCCATTTGAATGAAGCGTCGACCTCACATATCATTCAACCATACATCCATGATGAGGACGCGGCCATTTTTGAGATATCTACATGTTATAATGGTATTTAATATATTTTAAATTATATTTTTTTTGTCTAACATGTCAAAAATAATAATAATGAAAATTGCAGTCACTGTTTTATGTCAATCGAAAAAGATGAAAATTCAAATTGAAACATCTAAATTGTTTAGTGGAAAAATTTATGCACAAAATAGGCCACGAAGTTGTATGAATGATATTTTGAATCGATTAGATTTTGAATTATCCATACCATATACCGACGATGATTATACTAATAATACTGCTGATAATGATTTTCTGCAATGTGATACACAACAACCAACGCCTGGTCATTTTACCAATGACATTATCATTCAACACCATGATCTTGTCCTGACGACAAAAGATTTAGCTTTGGGCATTTTTTGTAAATTTGATTTACACAATTCAAGTATTGCTCAAATCGATCTCAAAATACAAGGGTATTAATTTGTTGCAATTTGAAATGATTAAATTCTTTCATTCTTTCGGATCAATCTGTTCAATTCTATTTTTTATTTCTCTTTCTTTCATACAGTGAAATTTCTACTGATAAATTAAAAGGCACGGCCAAACTTCCTGAATTATCATTACATCTAGTAGATCAGATGGGCAAAGATATCGATGAAGTTTCCATTGGTGATATACTTCGTGTACAAATCCGTATGAGTGATGAAGATACTTATGGGATTTTTGTTCGAAATCTCATTGCTAAAGATGATCAAAATCCAAACAATAATTTCACATTAATCGATAATAAAGGGTTCGTTTGGGAATGGATTTAATGTTATGGTTCAATGATTATACTCACGTTTTCTTTTTCTTTTCTTTTTTTTTATAATCAATTCTCATTGAATTTCCTTTCATGACAAATATATATAGCTGCCCGGCCCAAATGAAAATGATGCGCGAAGTTCGTCTACTCAACGAGAATAGAAAAACACTTGAAAGTTATTTAGAGGCTTTTACTTTTACAGGAGGTTCTATCTTAATCATACAAGTTGAAGTAGAAACTTGTCTCGACAAATGCAAACCGGTAATTATTGGTTTTTGGAAAAAAAATTCAATTCATGTCAATTGTATTGTCTTGTTCGATTGCTTTTATTATAAATTGCTCTTTTCATTTCATTGTTTCACACATATTTTTCCATGCACAGGTTCAATGTCAAGTGGCCAACGGCCGCAGTTATCCAGGTGTTGAGATGGTTACATCGTATGGTCGACGAAAACGTCGTTCCGCATCATCGAATGATGATTATGATGATCAAAATGACATTGGTGAGGTAGTTTCTATGACAAAATTATCAAAATCATTGTTAATACGTAAGAAACGTGAATTTGTTTCAACGGATCTTAAAATAACTGCCGGTATAGATGCAAAACAACATGAAAATGCAAATCGAACACATACTCAAAGAGCACTTGATTCATTCCTTGCACCTTATCAAAAAATATCAATTTCAAGCAAAAATTATCTATGTTTTGAACCAACACATTTATTTGTAATTTGTGTAATTGCGTGCTGTGCACAAATTTCATTATTTTCATTAATTTTTGGCATAATAATTAGAGTAAAAAAAGTTCCCTGTCCGAAACGACATCTGTTCACGTCTAGCCGTATTGGTGCTTCTTCTTGGAATCTAAATCCTTCATCAAATAATTCAAGTACACCGTACAATTATATGAGCTCAATGTAAATCATTTTGGTGAAAATGATAATCCATACATGTATTATATTTACATACACTAAATACAAAAAAAAACTATACTTGATTGGATTTTTATACCCTTCGAACTTATTTAAATCTGTGGTTTTAGAATTTTTTCTTTTCTTTTTTAAATAAAATCTCTATTATAAAAAAACAAACATTATGTGACTTTAATAATAATTCATTTTGTTAGAATTTCTGTATTCAAAGATTAGAAAACTTTTTTTTTATTTTAGAGGATTAAATTCGAAATAAAATTTCATCGCTTAATGAATGATCAAAAACCATACGAAAAGCAAACATTGTTAAGTGTTACTATGATTGCAACATCAGTGGTTGACATTATCATATCGTTGTCATGTTTTTTTCTTCGATCAAATACATATTGTATTGAAATGGTTAATCTACATTGGTTATTATTTGTATATTCCAATTTTGTCGGAATAAAAGGCATTCGAATGATTATTGATGAAAAACGAACAACAGCAAAAACAAAAAATTTATCACCATCATTGATGTTTTCACGATTTGGTTTCATGACTATTCAAATAATGTTATTGATTTTCAGTGATATTATCTTTCTTTGTTTTTATTTTACCTTTTCATCCTATCAATCTAATCTATTTCAATTGTTAACTTGGATAGTTTATCTAACATTGATCGTACGAATATTTGTTTTGACAATTCAATGGAAACGAATTACAAGTTTAGTCTATTATCAACCGAAATTAAAAACATAAATACAGATATTGATAAAAAAAATAAATATTTTTCAATTTAAAGTCTTCACATTTGTTTCGAATAAAAGATAGCAACAGGTGTGTTAGGTTATCGACATCGATGCATTGTGAAAATGTTGGCTTCATTGCATTAAATTTGAGAATTTCTCACCTTTCAAATGTTTTGATAATAAAATAAATAACGATTTAAAGTTTAATTCATTTATTATATAATTTTGTAAAGAAAAATCATCAAAAAATTAAGAACTATATATGTGTGTAAAAAATGAATTTAATTTATAAAAAGACAAAATAATAAAAATTTACAAAATAATAATAGTATAGGCGTGTCAAAAGGAAAGCCGCCTTTGGGTTGGCTGTTGTTGAGCATGATTGATTTGCTGTTGTGAATTTGAACAAAAATGGCTGTGACATTGATTATTATTATTATTATTATTACCAATAACATGTAACAATACATCTTGATTATAAGTTTGAAATATTTTTTCAAGTTTGTCGGCAAAATTAAGTTTATGAAATTGTGATAATAATTGAGTTGTTCGATTGTTGGTATTGGAACAAACATTACATACATTCATTGTTTGGTTCATATCGAAACGGCAACGATTTTTGGAAAAACATCTCAATGTACTTTGTTGATCAAGTATATATTTTAATAGATTTTCGATGATCAACCGTGAATTGACTTGATAGTGCATCAAATCATTTAAAGTGATTTGTATTTTTTGCATTTCATATTCAAGTTTGGTTAATTGTGTTAGAAAACGTAACCTTATTTCATGTTGTCCTTTAGCTGAAATCGAATTGGATTGAATTTTTTCTAATCGATTATCCATTATTCGTATCTTTGCCAACATATCTGCATGGCCAGCAGCATATTGTTCGAGCACATCTTTTATGTCATAAGGTTTGAAGGCTTTGACAAAATCTCTTTTTGATATGCAAAATTTAACGGAAAATACAAAACAAAGGGCATTCATTTCTTTCCAAGTCAATGTTTTGGATTTATTTTTACTTGTTTCGAATCTTTTCCAAAGGACTGATCGAAAACAGTTTAGTGTAGATGATGTATTACCGTTGCCAATATTATATTTACTGCTATTCGATATGCGAATCAATTCTTGCTCGGCGACATAAAATTTCCATGCACTTTGTATCAGACGAGCTGCTGGTTGTTTACGTTTGCTTATTTTTAGTTGTCGTTGTTGCTCTTGTACCTGGACATAAATTATCGATAAATGACAAATATATTAATTAAATTGAACAGTGAAGGCTTACCTTGAGAGCCAAACCAGTTCCAAGGATGCCGGCAGGTAGAGCAAATATCGAAACACCTATTAGCGAACAAATACATGCTAATAGTTTTCCGGTTGATGTTATTGGATACATATCACCATAGCCTATCGTACATAAAGTGATAACCGCCCACCACATCGATGATGCCAGACTATCGAAATCTTTATTTTGATCTTTTTCAACAAAATATATTACAAATGAGATGAGTATTAGGGCTAAGAACCCCATATAGAATACAATGGCCAAATGAATTCGTTGTGAATAAACGACGGACGCCATCATACGCCATGGCCTGAATTTAAAATCCAATCGAACCATTTGAAATATCTGTATAAAACGTACACCTCGTAGCGATGTGATTAATAATTCGCCATGTATATTTGAGATCAACACTGCTAATGAAACTATTATGACACAAAGATCAATAATTCGGATTGGATTTTTGAAAAAACGAATTTTTCCTTTCCATCCTTGATAATAAGAAACACATTCTGACGACCATATACGTGCTAAAAATTCCACGATAAAGAATGTAACTATCATATAATCGATTGTATTGAGTGTTTTGGCCAGAGAATTTCCAAATTCAGCTTTACAAAATCGAGAATAATCATCATATGACAAATCAATATTATTTAAATAACTTACTTGAAGAAGTCGATATAATTGTCAATATGAGACAACAAACAACTGCTAGTGAAACAAATACATGATAGCCGATTGCCCAAGCACCGGTAGGTCTTTGAAGAAAATTATATACTAAAATTCGTTCATTATAGAATGGTACGCCCACTAACGAATGTGGATAGATTGATAGTCGACGATTAGGTGGTGGATAGAAAACTGTATCCAAAGAATTACCACCTTGTTTGAGTTTTCGATATTTATAAATTGTATTATAAAATGAATTTGTTGACGATGATGTTGTAGTGACAGTATTATTGTTGCCATTTTCTTCCAATCCAACTAATGGTTCATTAGATTGATCTTGATCACAAATTCCACCATTTCCTGTAAAAGGTGTTGGTGTTCGAAATTCGACTAAGTCTTCTACTGCCGATTCGATATCGATCCTTGCTGTCACTTGAAAACGAGATTTGGAAAACGACGAATCTTTATCATTATTATTGTCGTTAAAAATGTTCATTTTTTCCAATTTTCATTTAGTTTCTATAAAGCATGAAAAATAAAAAAATATCAGAGTTGAAAATAGATCATTCAAATGTTTTTCCCAGTATTATGTTTTATTGATTTTTTTGTTTATGGCTGATTTCTGGCCGATGACATCATTTGAAATTCAATTTTAGAATACGAAAAAGAAGATATACAAATCATACAGAAATGAAAAATAGAACACATTCACATTAAGTTAATTGGCCTAATGATTATGAGGATGATGATGATGATGATTATTCGAATATTTCTGTTTTGAATTTGATAAAATATCAATTGTATCAAGCCGAATGAATGACATGTATGCTGTTAAGATTCTTTTCATTCGATTTAAGATGAATGGACAACAGATATATATGAAAGTCCATATTTAGTATCGAATGTTTAAAATGATTTTGAAAATTTATCAATTTATAAAAATGCTCTGTAATAGCATTGATTGATTAAATTGAAAAATCTGCACGCACCACACTAATAGAAACGAACATAGTATTTCAGACATTAATTTATAGTTTCATCTTCCTATAGTTTAATTATTCTTTTGTCAATTAAAAATATTGATGGAAACAATTGAAATCGAATTTCTTGCATCGATGACAAAGCAAATATTGCTAAAAAATCAATTATATAATATTTATTTCAATAAAACAAACAATAATGATGTGATGATTTGTCGATCATTATTAACGAAGCAAAAAAAACAATAAAGAAAAGATTGTCTAATCATCACCATTTTCAATCAAACTGGATGTCCTTTTTAATATGTTTGTTTGGTGAGTATAGGTGAATTATGAGAAATTAATAATAATAATACCTGTATCTTTTGTTTCCATTGGATCACAAGACAAAAAAATGATTTATCGATCAAATCTATTCGAAAACAATAATATTGGCCTCAAAAAAACAAACTTCATGGCCATCACATGTTGATCATCTGACTAAAATAATAAAATAATATCAAAATCCATAAATAAGAAATTGAGAAAAAAAATGTCAAAATTCAATGCCTTTTTTTATGGTTGACTGACCATTCAACTGGCATACAACATACACATCATCACATAAACATAAACACGAACTAGTTTCCGCAATCAATCGAACCGACAAACATTTGATACGATTATGATAATCGAGGAATGATGTATATAAGAATGAATCTTTATCATTTTAAATGTGAAAAAAGATTAGACACGATGACACCAGTATTAAAAAAGTGAATAAAAACAAAACAAAAAAATGGAGGGAAAAGGATTGTCATTAGGGTAGATATGCATAGAAATTTTCAAATTGCCTGATTAGGATGACGAATGCGGAAAATCATCAACATAACAAAACATGGAGATTTTTATAATTATTATTAATAATAATGATGATAATTTTTACAAAGAAAAAACAAAAACATATAAATCCCCAAAATCAACCAGAAATTGATGGTTGATTTCTTTTTTTCTCATATCATCATCATCGTCAAAGTAGTAATAATAATCATAATCATCATCATCATTGCCAGACAATGTTGCTTCCTTGTGAATGAATTTTTTTTTGAATTGAAAATTTAATAACTTACATTTTATTCTGATGATAATTTTGAAAATATTAATTTAATTTATTTTTCGTAAATTTAAAATTCACATCATTCATATATGGTTTGTTAATTCACACAATAAACATCAAATATTGACTAATAATCAACCTTTTTTAAGTAACATTTCTTTTCAACAAACATCATAGAATGTTTGTTTGTTTTTTTTTGATTATTATTCCATATGAATTGAATGATAATGTTTATCAATTCTTTTATTATTATTCAACAGATGCAAACAAATTGCCGGAGAAAGAGATAGATAGATTGAGAGAGAGGAAAACCACAAAGCAGACAACAACAACAAAAAATAGCAAATACAGAATTGTTTTCTTCGATATGTTTGTGTAAATATATAAAGCGATGAAAAAAACCAAGTAGACGTAATTGTAGTTGTCGAACAATGACTGAATTCAGACAACAAAAAAACAAATTATCATATTCACACAGTATGAAGAATGAGAAAGAGAGAAAGAGAAAACCAACAACACCAAAGACTGGAAGTCAATCAAGTTGATCTTATCATTTTATAATAACAACAACGACAAAATAGCCAAATCATTAGATCATAAAATGTTCGACCATTCTTGATTTTTTTTCGATTCGGCTGTAATTTTATCGATAAAACCAATCAACGAACGACAATAACAAGTCACATGTTATAAAATTTAAGAACATAAAATTCACTTTTTCTATGGATAAATAGAATGATTGATTGACAGATCAACAAAATAAAAATAAAAAAATATTAAAAATTAATGATTATCAATAACAATATTTGATGATGATGACTAGAGCGAATGGTCAAAACAAATAATTTATGTTTAATAGGGGTTTCACACTAGCAGCAATGTGAATGAAATATTTCAAATGCAATATTTCAGTCCATAAGGCTGAAATGTAGTGAAATATTGCATTTGAAATATTTCACTCACATTGCTGCTAGTGTGAAACCCCTATAATGTAAATCCGGAGTTAATATGGGTAGAACAAAAATACATTTCAATGTTCAACAGGTTTGAAAATCACAAAAAAAAATTGTTTAATATCTATTCTTTATGACAATTGATTGATATATCTGTCGAATTAAACAGAAAAATATTTATTCTGTAAAATAAAAACAAAACAAAAAAGATTTCACAAAATTTCCATCATACAAACACACACTGAATGATCATAAAATCTTGTTGATGCTGGTGATGGTTTACTTTCACTTTCATTCACGTTTAATATTCATTTAAATTACGAATGAAAATATAATTTCCAAAATATAAAAAAAATCCTTTCAATCAATTCGGCTCAAACATTCCATCTATAACATAAAACATTCATACATGATCACATCATGTTGGCGTTTAAGGTGGTAGTAGTTATGGTCGTTATTTGATTGTTTGTTTTGTTTTATTTGATGGTTGTCGTAGTGATGAATGTATTTATTTGATTATTCTTTTCATACATCACAAATAATAAATTTTTTTTTATTCGAAACGAAGCATATTACACATATTTCAGAGAATCGTGATGTGTTGCAAATAGTGTAATGGATTTATTTCATTATCTTTCAACCAAACAGGACCAAATACATGATGATGATAACTTATGGTCACAAAAAAATATGCACAATTTATCACTGATTTGTAATGGGATATTTCAATAGTTTAGCCAAACATATGTTATATTGATGGATGAATTTTCTTTTATCCTTCGTATATTTGACAAGAAAAAATGTCATTCAATGAAAACGATTGAATGAATTTGTGAATATGGTGACAAAAGAAACTTTTGAAAAAAAAACTAGTGAGAGAGGGAGAAAGGAAGAAAGGAAAGGAAAAGAAAAAAAATCTGTCAATTTTTCAATTGTAATGATGATCATAGTGTGATACACAAACATTGACTACTAAGGCAATGGTTTGGTAAAATCTTTACTGAACCTCGAAACATTCAAAAGGACAATTTTTTTGACTTTCTTTTACGTTGGAACAACGATAAATTTATTAACATGTGTGTGTTGTAGGGTATATATTTTTCTTTGAAGCAGAATGAATATGAAAATGGCGAAATAACCAGAGTAACAAAGATTTTTCAATGATGAAGAATACCATAACCATGGATGCTGATAATACATACCAAAAGTTGTATGTTTATATGAGTTGAAATTGTTGAAACAAAATTTATGAAAAACATTGGTCGGCCTATCAGAAAAAAACCAGATCGTATCCTATTCAATATTTTATCAAACAACAACCAATGCTAAAACATCGTAAAAAACTTTCTTTTTTTGAATATTGAAATAAATCACCCACATCTTTCTTCATATCGTTATTAACAATAAGTTTTTTCGCAAAATAAAAAAAAAATTAAAATGTTATGAGGCACTAAGAATGATGAACAGGTAAGAAAATCATTCTTTCTTTGTTCAAAGATCCGTTGTTAAATTTAATTACATTTTTTTTTTGTTATCGATTTTCTACCCTTTTCAGGTTTATTCAAATAGAAAGGGAAGAACAAACAAACAAATAAAAATCTTCAACGAAGAAAAGGTAGAAGCAAATGATAGAAAAAAACGAGGGGAGGATGGAAGAATATAAAAGGGAAAAAATCAAATCATTTTCGTTTTTTTTCTTCCAATATGCAAATACATAATAAGTATGATGTGATTTATCATATAATACATATGATTGGACATTGTCTAACCACATTTTTTCATTAGTTATATCAAATGGAAAAGCCATATAAATAATAGTGATGCTGATGATAATAATGATAATGATAATGATGATGTTGATGACAAATAATATGGCTTTTCATTTTGTTTTCTTGAAAATTCCTTTTTTGAAATAAAAAAACAAAAAACAAAGTTTGCGTGCGTGTGTTTTTCATAAATGCATTGTGTTGAGAATCAAAAGAAACATTAAAATATTTATTAAATCTTTCGTTTTGTTTTGTGTATAAAATAAATGTTTAAGAATATTTATTTTTTATGAGGCAAAAAATTCAAATCTCCAACTCTTTAATTTTATTGGAAAATTTATTTTTTTTTCTGTCGTTTTGTCTTGTCATTCCCAGTATGAATTCAATGTCAGCTATTTTTCTTATTAGAATAAACATCAAAAACCTAAGACAAATGAATTTTGAAATTTATGATTTATTTTGGCGTAAATATCCATGAGATAAACGATTTTAATAAAGTTATTTAATTTTTTTTCAATGTTCATTTTAAATTGATTAGAATCAATGGAAAAAAATTGCCATTTTTTTTGCAAAACATTTTTGGCCATCTATTGACATTAATTGTCATTCAAATTTAGTTGTTTTCGAAGCCAGATGACAGTATATTCGTTTTATTTAAAATTTTTTCTTTCCCTTTCTTGTTTTTTTTTGCAATCGATCATAATTATCATTAATCAATGCCAAGGTTATGAATCAAAATAACAATAATAAAAATTCTTTCATTTTTGTGAGCATTAACATATGTCATTGATGTGTTTTTTTCTCGTTAATAATGATTACAAAATCAATAATTCATTTGAAACATGTATTATTATTTTGACATAGAATTATACCAATCATTTTATTTTATTTCTTTTTGTCCTTACATTTGATATTGAATAATATTATTGATTGAAATTATATAATTATTGTTTACAAAAAAAAAGAAGAAATTCTGGTTCAAAAAAGACCAAATTATGTTTTCTTTTCAAGAAAACACGACAATCAATTTACAATATTATTATTTTTTATTTTTTTGAAAAGAAAAATTAACATATGCATAATGTTATTTCTTTTTCTGGTAAAACAAAGCTGTAACTGAAAAGAATGCTGTGATAAACTAAAAATGAATTCAATTAATAAAATTTACAAATAAAAGAAAATTGTGATTTTTACCTGTAGAACAGTGGCTGCATTGATTGGTGTGTCCATTATTTCCAGGCCGACTGTATGATTAAGACAATCCATAAAATCATAATATCTAGAATATTCTGGATGTTTTTTGATTTCATCGGAAGAATTGATTTTACGTCTTGGAAAATATGGAATCCTTTTGACATTTACATCCTCATATATCATATTGGATAATATTGATGCCTCTTCGTCTGGGCGACCAAAAATGACAGAGAATATGACAATGACCGAAACCCAAACGGCCAAGATGGATACATTTATACATTTTAGAACTAGATTCATATTTGAATAGAATGTAAGGTGATACATTTCGAATAGCATTCCAAATAGACAGCTCACTAAAATGATATATGATTGTTTCACATAGATTTTCACATATTGAATCATCAGATAAAGATTTGGGAAATGTTTTAGTAGATCGGAATTTAAATCGCCTTGTTTGATAGAATCGCAAAATTTTTGATTATATTGTCGGAATAAATTGACACAAATTTCATTTATCAAGTAATTTTGGATTAAGAAATAACTTAAGAAATATGTGTGCAATGTTACAAAAAGATGATTGAATATTCGATCAATCCATGTCCGATTTCTGGTAGCAAAATTGTTCAAATTGTAGCTTATGATCAACAGGATTATAAAACGGAATGAAACTTGCACCCTTTTACGGGCCCAATCCATCGTTAAATTGACATCAATCTTGTTCAATTCGTTATAAAGTTTATTTGCTATTATTAGCCAATTTTGATCGTCAAAGATCCAATAATGGTATAGAAGAAATAACATAGAACGAAAAAAAACGAGTAAAATGTTGCCTTGTATTCGATATTCTTCACCCAAAAATTGACAACTTAACTCCATAAAAAGACATTCATCACCCGGGCCAGCATACCATGCTTGAATAAACATTATCCAAAAATTGATGTAATCCACCCAAACCAGAAAACCCATCACCAAAGATGAATATGAAGATTTCTTGCCAAAATGAATTCCATAATAATAGTTGCTTGTACAATCTAACATGGTAATAAGATCACATTCCATGTTTCACGTTTGAGAATATAATGAATCGACTGAAAATACAAAAGAGAATGGTTTCCTAAAAAAACAAACTTATTTGTTGGCATGACTTTCTTCATGTTTTTTTCAGATACCAGATTTTAAACAAAATTTTCAAGATTACGTCAATGGCATTGAAAATTGATATTATTGACAAAATTTTTATTGTTAAGCTTTTCAAAAAAATGAGACTGTTTTTTTTGTAAATTTTATTTTATTTGTTCTTTGTGGAAAATTGTCCAAGCGTTTGCGCCAATCGATTTTCAATGGCTTTGTTTGTACCGATCAAACCAGATATAACTTTCGTAGACCATTCAACATATTCTTGCACACGTTTTTCTGACCAACCTATCGGGGTTTTTTCGAGAAGATCTTGTAAATTGTATAATTTATCTGCTAATTTTACAAGTTTGGCTTCATTGCTCGAATTCGGCGCATTCTCTACTTGTAAACGTTTACGTTCAAAAGAAGGCAATGATTTGTCATCGGTTACTTCGGCCACAATCGATCTAATAAGATGATTATGTCATAATTTATTTTTAACAAAAATTCTTTATTACAAAATATGATCACCGAATTCTTTCTGAATATCCTCAAAAGTAACATCCGTATCTTCTACCGTATCATGTAACAAAGCGGCGGCAATAACTGATGGATTGGAAACGTTGCCTAAATCGGTTAAAATATTAGCGACACCAATCGGATGATTAATATAAGGAGTGTAACCATCTTTGCGTAATTGTTTTCGATGAGCTTTAGCGGCGAAATCTGCAGCTTTAATTATTAATTTAATCGCATCATCAGTCGAATTAGAATCCATTTTTTAATATATTATCATCACACATGCATGTGATTAAAAATCCAAAATTTAATGTTTATACAATGCAAGTAGTGATAAAAGTTAAAATTTATTTGGTCTTTTTGAATAAAAGAATTTTCAAATGAATATGACAATTAAGTACTTAGGACCGGGTTAGATTGCAATTGAAAAATTTAAAAGTGTTTTAAATTGATAAAAGGAAACTTGTTAAATTTTAATTTTTTCCTAACTTAATTCGTAAATTATTGGCAAGTTTGTCCAAAAACTCGAAAGTGTTGAGGTAATCACCACGGGTAATATTACCAGCTTTAGCACAGAGTGCTAAATCCTTAGTCATGAAACCACTTTCAATAGTTTCCACACAAACTTTTTCAAGGTTTTCGGCAAAATCTGCTAATGGTTTATTTGAATCTAATTTTGCTCGATGCAAAAGTCCACGAGACCAAGCGAAAATAGACGCAATTGGATTGGTGGATGTTTCTTTACCATCTTGATGCATACGATAATGGCGAGTTACCGTGCCATGAGCCGCTTCAGATTCAATAGTTTTACCATCCGGACATACCAACACCGATGTCATCATTCCCAACGATCCATAACTAATGAAAAATTTGAAAATAAAATCGGATAATCTATTTGAATAATTAAAAATTACCCTTGAGCCACGGAATCACTTTGAACATCTCCATCATAATTTTTACAAGCCCATACAAATCCGCCTTCTGATTTTAAAGCTTGAGCGACCATATCATCAATGAGTCGATGTTCATACCAAATACCAGCAGCTTCATATTGAGGCTTATATTGTTGATCATAGATTTGTTGAAAAATGTCCTTGAATCGGCCATCATACTTTTTCAGAATCGTATTCTTAGTGCTCAAATAAAGCGGATATTTTCGCTGAAGAGCATACTGCAACGAAGCATGGGCAAAATCACGAATACTTTTATCAGTGTTATACATGGACAAGGACACTCCACCACCATCTTTGAATTCAAAAACTTCATGGCTAATCGGTGCCGAACCATCAGCTGGAACAAATTTGATTTCCAATTTGCCATTACCAGGGACAACAAAATCAGTGGCACGATATTGATCGCCATAAGCATGACGACCGACCACAATCGGTTTGTTCCAACTGGTAACCAAGCGAGGAATATTCTTACAAATGATTGGCTCACGAAATACGGTACCACCAAGGATATTTCGAATAGTTCCGTTAGGGGATTTCCACATCTTTTTCAGATTAAATTCTTCCACACGTTTCTCATCAGGTGTAATGGTGGCACATTTCACGCCTACATTATACTTGAGTATAGCATTGGCGGCATCGATAGTTACTTGATCGTCAGTTTTATCACGATTTTCAATACTTAAATCATAGAAATGAAGTTCAACATCGATAAATGGTAAGATTAATTTCTCTTTGATTAGATCCCAAATGATACGTGTCATTTCATCGCCTTGCATTTCCACCACGGGTCCACACTTGATTTTTTGATCGGCCATATTGCACGTTAATAATCTATTGTCGTAACAATAAAAAAATATCGTTAATGAATATTTTTTTAGAAATAGAAGATTTTAAATGTTGTTTATTAATTTTGTTATTGAATATCAATTGTCAAATGATAGGAAAAACATTAGAGTGATAACAAAAAACATGAATAGAAAAGCCGACAAATGGGAATGAAATTTGATGATGATATGACATATTACAATTAAATGAAATTGATACACTGAAAAGCATCGTTTAATGGTCAAATTCGAAGCAACAACAATGAACTTACTTTTAAATATTTTAATTCAACTAAAACAAAGAAAAAATGTCCTTTCTAGTATTTTTATACAGATAGCAACCAAACGATTGAATGGATGAACAAAACAAAATAATGTTTTTTTTTGTACAGGAAATCGTAGAGATTAACGTCACAAAGACACGTCAAATAAAAAAAATGTACTAAATTAATTGAATGAGCTGGGAAGAGAAAAAATTTATTTTATATCGATCGATGGCTTTGAACAAATGCTGTATGTTACAAGGAAAAAACTAAATAGACAAGATCACTGTCTTCTTTTTCACGTTGGGATGGATGAATTTTGTATGGAGAAACCAGTTTTTATATACCTTCTCGGATAAAAAAAAGCACAAGTGGACCTCTAATAATAATAATAATGACAATGATGATGATAATGATGACAACCAATTTAACAAGGTTTTTTTCTGCTTTGCCTAGTGATTTTTTTTTGGTAATCAAAAAATGTATATCAAAATGATGAAATAAATAACACACTTTAATACAAAAAAAAAAAGAAATTTGTACTGTACATTTAAAGAATATCTTAAAGTGTACCGACGACACAATTTTATTGATTGATTATAATCAATTTTTATTGATAAAAATTGGATAGTAATTCAATTTATAAAGTAAATAGAAAAGTGCAGATAAAATATATTGATTTTTGGTAAAAAAAGCTACACGTTCTTTTGGCCGACCGATTTTACGTTCTTTGTTGATAGGCATTTGTCATTTGGACATTGGAGCATGCGTTAATTAAATCATATGATCAACAAATTCTGAAAACACATCTTTGAAAAATCAATTTTTTCAACAATACGAAAATACATATCAAGTTTTTATTATGGATACAACGCCAGTTTTTTCTGGAAAATCTCGTTTCAGTTTTCTGGATAAATCGATTGAAAAAACTAAATCAAGATCGGATGTAATTATTTTTTTTTATTATCGATGATTATCACTGATTGACAATCATTAATTGCCTTTTGTTTATTTTCAAAATTTTATTTAGCAAATTAGTTTAAGTGCATTTGCTTTTTTATTTGCCGAATTAGTTCAATATTGTGAAAATAGTGTACAATTAGCATCAGAAATGCAATCAAAATTATCGGAAATTGGCTATAATGTTGGTCAACGGATTGTTGATATGATGTTGATACGCGACAAAAATTTTAAACGTGAAACACGCCTTATCAATATGCTAATATTTATACGAAGCAAAGTATGGCCAATGTTGTTTAATAAAGAAGCGGATAAATTGGAACAAGCTAATGATGATAAAAATACATGTAAGACTTTATTTCATTAGCAAATAGATTTATATTTAAATATTAATTATTACATTTATTAAATATAGATTATATAATAGAACGTGAACCAATAGTAAATAAATTCATATCGGTACCAAAGGATAAAAAATACATTAATTGTGCCGCTTTTATTGGTGGTATAATCGAAGCCATATTGAACGAGTGTAATTTTGTATGTATAATCGATTATCTTGATGTTTTGAAAAAATTGTTAATAAATTTCAATTTTCTTGGTTTACTTTTCTCGAACATATCGATTGATCAATTATAGCCAGCAAAAATCACTGTACATTGGCACGAAGGAACCACTTTTATGATCAAATTTGATGATTCTGTTATCGAAAGAGATCAACTACTTGAAAAATGATCTCGTCATAAAATGTAAATGTGTTTTTTTGTCTATGTTTTTTTTTACAATCTGGTCGTCCTTATATTAGGAGGAAAGGAGTGTATTTGTAACAAAAATTTCATTTGCATAGTATTAAAAATATCCGAAAATGTTTTTGTTTTCTGAAATGAAAAAAATATGATTAAAATTTTTTATCTAGATGTTGAATAATCTCTGTAACCACCATTTGTATTGGTCATCTCTGGTTGATGCGCGTTGAAACGATTATTATAATTGTTGTAACTGTTGTAATGATTTAGTAATGATGGTGAAAAATAAGGATTTGCACCATAAGTCCATGGATTTGAATATGATTGACTTGAATACGGCATATAAGATAGCTGAGGAAGTAGATTCGGTAGAAATGGGAATGGATTGTATGGATTCAATTGAAATGATTTTCTTGGAAATAATGATAAAAATTTACTTCCAAGATAAGGGTAAAGTGAATTGGCAAACGGCAAACGACCTGAATCTCCTTGATATCCACTTTGTAGGCCGGTATTTGAGAATTGTCGTTGTTGAATTGTTGATGACATGGATGGTGGTGATTGTTGTAATTGATTTGGAAGAGCTTCATGATTAGCAATAACCTGCGGTTGTTGTTGCTGATTCTGATATAGTCGCATTTCGAGATCCTTCATTAATTGGGAATGCATATAGTCATCATTTGGTTCTTCACGAGGAGCTGATCTTCTGATAAGATATTCAGGTTTTGAATCATCTTTTGGATTGATACTTTCACTATTGATTGGACGTATACTAGATAAGGTTAGATTGAGCAATAAAAATATGGAAATAGGAAAAGGTAATGCAAGAATTCTATGATTATTAGCTTCAATGGATGATGTTAGATTCATGTTGAATTAATTGTAACCAGACATTATGTAATATTAACACTAGATTCGTAGATTTTATAGGAAAATTGAACTATAATTTTTCAAATCATCCTCATGAACATCATTTAAATCTTCGTGTCATTAATCCGGGAAGTATTATCTTGATAAATTATTCAACAACATTTTCTCATTGATGACTCATCAGATTTTCATTCATACATGAGTAAATCTAATAGAATTTTTTCCATTTCTGTTATTATATTATCTAAATTCTGATGATCAGCATCAAAACATAATTGATACAATCGTTGCATGGAAATTTCAACATGTTTCGATGACGATGACCAAGGCATTGTCAATAAACCCATGTTTAATAATGAATACAATTTACCCATGAATAAAATATTTCGACAAATTCGTTTTAGATTATTATCGGTCATGTCCAATCTACAAGAGCCTTGATGGCACTTGCCATGACAATCAATAAAATGACAATCATCATCCATATCACAATCGATCACGTGTTCGATTGTATTTTTCAATGTATGCCTACTTTGAATAAGATCGGAATCGAGTAACAACATGGTTTGATTTTCGTAATAACCAAAATGATAATATTTTACATCACACAATTCCATTGGTACTTTTGTATTGATAAATCGTTTCAGAAATTTCAACAAATCAATTGCTGCAATTATTTTGTCCCGTGAAGTTTGAAATGGAAATGAAACAAGATAAGTCCAATGGATTATATTGGTCAATTTAGGTGTAGCATAAAAATGACCACAAGTGTAAAGGACTTTTGGATAAAGAAGATCATTTTCAAATAATTTACTCAAAACATATTCATGTTGTTTGATTAACAGAAAATGATTTGTGATCTTGTCAGTATCATTTAGCAGGTCGACAGGCAATAAATCCTGTTCTAACGAAACATTTGAAAGGCCGATTATATCTTGCTGGATTCCTCGATAATAATCAGATAATTCTACCGAAGAAATTTCAGTCAATTTTTCCTCAACAAGAACTTTTGATTTGATAACAAGTGATATATTCGGTAATTTTTTGGCAAATATGACAACATCTTTTCCAATATGACTGGCTGAACAAGGGCAACCGATAAATTTAATTTGATTATCAGAGTCGTTATCGCAGAGTTGAGAACATAAATTTCCAAAAAATACATTCTTTTTATAATTAGTACATATTTGTACGAGAGTTTCTTCGATGATATAATCACAGCTATTGTTTATTAAATCAAATTCAATCATCCAATTGGTGGAAATAAAAATTGTCGAACATAAAATTAACCACAAGATTTGAATTGATAAAAAAAGAAATAGTCTGATTTTATTCATGACAACAGGTGATACAAGTAAATAAATCGAATTAATATTGACTTATCGATAGTATCGATAATCATTCGAAAAATTTAAAAAATCATCCATAAATTGCAATTTATTTGAAAGATATATTAAATGGTCATAAAATAATTATTTTTGCATGCATTATTCAGAAATTCATTTCACCAAATCTTTGAATCATTTTCTTTTGTTCTGGAACCGATAGTTTAACCACAATATCCTCGGTGACAAGGTCTCCAATGATGATAATATGGTCGAAAATGATGTCGCCTATGACGATATCCATGGTGATGATGATGTCGACGATGATGATGAAATGGTCTATAATGTCGACGGTGACAATGAGAACAAGCGTCTACCATTAATCCACCAGCAAATCCATCTTCAGATTTTGTGTTCCATTCGCGAAATTCATTCGTAACCAGAATGAATACGAGAAACAACGCGATCAAATAGCGGCCAGGTCTTTCAAGTTTCATATTTAAAAAAGTTTTTCGTGATGTCTGCAAAAATTCACAATGAACATCAAACTCTTTCCAAAGACATTTAAATAGTATTCACATTTTTAATTTTCGATTGAATTTAAAATTTCATTTCATCGTCTTGTCAATTTTCTTTTGAGGATGGGTTTCCCTTTTTGAAAAACATGTTGATTACAAATAATCTAATCGATAATCGACAACAGATCTACTTTTGATATTTGAAATGATGGGGGAGAAAAAAAACTGACATTTTTCATGAATTTCATTTTAAAGATCTTTTCAAGAGTCTCTTCAATCATCATCACCTATTCTATTGTCTTAGCAGATATGAAAAAAATGTTGGAAAAAACGCGTTTTATTTTTGTTTTGATGCTTGTGAAATTTTGCACCAAACATGAACAACAATACGAATATTTGTCATGATTGTCAAGGCCAAATTGAATAGTGATAGGTGAAAAACTTTTAAAAATTTCATTTCTTACATCGTAAAATCCAGATCGCCAAATTGAAATGACTTATTTTTCAAAAACTTAGGTTCATCACCATAATTTGAAAAGTTTTTTTTTTCATTTTCCCGAGTTCACTACGATGGAGCATTTTTAGTACTAGCTGTTGTTTTGAATACTTGATTATCTTTATTCATATAGTGGCTAACATAATGAAGTGTTAAATCGTAGCAATATTTGTACTCCATCTGCATCAGTAAAGTTTAAAGAAAATGAAATATTAGAATCCATTTGTAAGCTAACAAATTAATCATTAAATTACAATTGTTTCGATCAATGCTGATCGATGTCGTCGGACAGTTTTAACAGCATTAAATATATCAATTTCTCCATGAGCAACTACTTGTTCGATTGCAAAATTGGCGGCAATATAAACGCCCACTCTTGATTTTCCATTTCTATGTATAGATGAAATTAGAATTTTCAGAATAACACTTTAAATGATATCTCAACTAACCCTGAAATCACTAGAACTGGACCATAACTTGTTCTTTGTCGCCATCGTTCAACCATGTGAATTAATTCGACTAATGCGTTGGTAGAAGTGGGAACTTTGTAATCAAAAGGCCAGGCTAAAAATTCAAAAAATTGAACCACTTTTGGTTCAGCTTTAATACCAGCCATCAATTCGGTTAGAGAGGTGAGTTTTTTCGTTATACGAAACACCCAACTATCAATCTTTGGTGGATTATTGTGCGACATGGTTTCGACAGTAAATATTGGACCATATTTACAGGTTTTTGAATCTCTAGGCCAAAATTCCTGAAATGATTTATCATTCTTCGGTACACCGCCTAGTACTACAACAGTATTACAATCATGATCATAAATCAGTGACCAAAGATTTTGCATTGTTTTTTTCAGTGGCCATTCAGTTACAATATATTCACGAGGTCTGGAATAACCCTGAAAGAAAAAATTGAAATGAATTGGATGAAAAAGTAATCAATGAGGAAATACAAACATCAACAAAAACAGCATTAATATAATCAGATTGATCAATCGACTGAACCGATGTTAGATATGGACGGAAATTATCAGCTACAAACAAAAAAATTTAATTTGAATGTTTAATTAATCAAATACAGACTTACGAGGAACAATTGAAACATCTCGATTTTTATCACGATTTTCTAATCGATGTCCACCGGCACAATCTCCAATGGTGAATTTGGAAGTCATGGACATTAATTTCTACAAAAATGAAACTAAATTAGAGTTTACTACTGGAAAAAACTTACCTCAAATTCGGCTTGATATTCATTTCGTTTGGTCGCTTTGTTTTTGACTGATCTATGTTTTATTTGTTGACTAATCTCGCTGACGTCGAACCATGTTCTACCGCAAATATACCATTCTTCAATTGTTTCATAAATAAATCTATATTGTTCCTAAAATTCAAACAAAATAATTTCTGTATTCATTGTTATTCATTTATTACAACTAACCAAATTTTCAATCATATTAGCTCTTGAATTACGAAGCTTTTTAGCATAATTGAATATATCGACAATACTTTCTTCATCGACAAGATCCAGATTTGCATCCAAACAAACATATGTACCACTTCTTCCACATCCATTGCTGCAATGAACGAGCAGAGGTCCAGCATTCACTGCCTGATTCTGATAATGTTTAACTCGTCGGCGAAATTTAAGTATCGAGTCCGAATACGGACAAGTAGTGATATTCCAGCTCTGGAACTGTAATTGATAGATAGTTCGAAAATTTTTATTCAATTCATCGTTGCATAAATCTCGAATTTGCATCGTACGACATATATAATCGGCGAGTTGATCTTCTTCAACTAATGTTACTTCAAAACGATGATCAAACAATTCTGGATGATCCAATTTACTTGGCCAATATTGTATGCACATAACTCTTATGAATTCGTATACTTTGGTCAACATGACAATAACTTGAATATTTTGTTGCCATATCATGCGCCAAAAATTGTTCATAGTCTTTTCGGTTGGGCCTTGGGCGACAATATAGGCATTCGGTTTCAGTAAACTCTATGAATGACATGCATTGATTAAGATAATATAAACGAACATTTATTTATAATGTTGAATGAATCAATCAACAACTTACATCGATATGTGATGCGTTAATGTAGTCGGATTCAAAACCGTTTTCATTTGGATTTGGTTGAAGTATCACTCGATTAAAATCGTCTAAGAATATTTATTTTGAATAAAAATAGAATAAAATTCATTGGAAATATTATTATATTGATAGCCATTTCGAATTAGATGAGTAATTACTATGATATAGTTAGCTTACAAGGAACAAATTTTTGATTACAATTTTTGCCAAAATTTTCCCGTTTATTAGCATGACGAGTTGTAAATGAATTCCGTTTGCCACTAACATTTGATGATGTACGCAAAAACTGCCGAAATTGAAATAAAACAATTGCAATAAAATTCTCTCGATCAACATTTGTAACATAATATGAATAAACTATTTATTTATCGAATTTCAAGTATTTCAAAGAATCAATATAAATGGTGTTTGAAAATACTTACATTGAATTCAATAACAGCTAATATCTCATATTTCCGAATGCGTCGAACATGTTTGCTCAATGTATTGACCATAATTCTATTATGTGGAACAAATTGATCAAACACAGCATAAAGGAATGAATTACTTTGTAACATTTCTTTATTTTCACCGGTAGCCGTCTCTTCTAGATATCGAACAGTGGATGCAAACAATGGTAAATTAAGTAATTTGAGCTGAAAACGGCAGAATGATTTTGATTTGGGTAATTTTATATAAATACTAGTTAACCACGATTCTTTCGGAACGTATAATTCATCACTAGTTTCAGTGAAACGATGAATAGTCGATCGGCGATTGGTATTCGATGAAAATGTATTATTAGGAATAAGACCATTATTATTTGTTTTCACAGTTTTCGTTGGATGTAATGCAATAGAATTAATGCTAGATTCAATCACATGAATGGAATGAGATCGACGTGTTTGCGAAGTGCTAGCCATTGATGGAACTGATAAATGATGATTGTCGTGTGATGTTTGAAAACGATATCTTGGCTTGGCATAAAGATATGATTCACGACCATCTTTCGAAGCTGGCAAGCTATCGTTCTTTTGATTGTCATTATCGGTGATGGTATCCATACCAATCGAAGTGATATCACCAGAAAATTTACACATCTTATTGCATAAAAATTCTACTGGTGGGTCGGGCACCATTTGTGAAATAGCTTCATCAATTTTAACTGTCTTGATATTTTTTTGACCGATTGAATTCTGAAGATCTGATGATTTTGAATGATTGTCATCCATCGGGAATTTTACACCGACATCCTCAGCGTTGACATGAACTTCGACGGTATTATGTTCCATTGTTAACTCGTGGGCTACCAACCATAAATTTACATAAAAGTGGATCAAATATGAATCATTCTGTAGTGAACGTGTTAAAACGGGGCTGATTCCACCAAAGACTTTATTATGGTTAGTGAGTTGTTAGTTGTTGCTTATCATAAAAATTTAAGACAAGTAATGTTAACCATTGTGGCGGGATAAATATAACTTTCTTTAGCTAAAATTTTCTTTAAAAACTTTTAAATGTTTGTTTAGACAGCTTGGAGATTAGCTCTCATACAATAATGATTGAATGGAGCAAATGTTTGTCGAAAAGATTTTAGATTTAGGCTTCATCGTTGCTTTTAGATAGAAAAACATTCACCCATTGTGAATGTTATTCATTAAAAACTCAACATGAGAAAAAATTGGTGCAATTGAGAGCATCATTTTGAAATTGAGCATAGAGAAGAAAACGAAGCGAATAACTGTTCATCCATATATGAATCAAAACATGAATCTCCCATTTGGGTTCAAATAAGTTGCATGAATTGCTATGAGCGTCATTGATTTTGTTAAAGCATAGAAACCATAACGAACCCCAAAACATACAAACATTATAGAAAATGAGAATCTGGAATGAGATGAGAAATAGTGAAATCACTGATGATGGAACAACATACATAACATTTTTATGTCTTATATTATATAGAACATGATTAGGTTTTTCTTTCGCGGGTACTTAATCAATCGTACATACACAGTAAAGACGGTGGCCGCATCAAACGATGTTATGGAGACCAATAAATGGTGGTAAATAATTGATTCAAGCCAGAAAATCTCGATTTTATTCAAATAAATGGCGCCATAATAAATATTTTGCTATAGCATTTAAATTATGAAAAAAATTGATCTGAATTATAAATTTTAGCACTATTTTAACCCAAATCATATTCTTATTGAAAGGTAGAAAAAGATTTTTTATTGTTTTTATTTTCGAGTTCCGGATAAAAATAAAGCCTCGTGTTATTTGAAAATTCTGCATAAAAATGGATACTTTCAAGAAAACTATGGATTTTCTACTGGAAAATATGCGTAAAGAAATAGAGGTGAGGATTTAAATTTATAGAAATATTGAAAATAAATATTTTTTTTCAGGAAAAAAGTGAAGAAAAAATTACTGAATTGAAACAAATCAATAGAAATTTGAGTCAGATTCCACTCGACTTTCAAAAAGTAATTCAAAATCAAGAGACAATAATCAATCGTGTCGAATTAATGGAAAAAAAATTTGAGAATCAAATTCAAGGCATGACAAATTTAATACAAGAAAAATTTATGAATCATCATCATCAAAATGAGTCTGTTGATATCTCTTCAAACAACTTTGTCAAATCTCAAGACAAGACAATCCAAAATGATCGAATAGAAAAGTTTTTTGAAAATTCTTGGCTAAATCAATCCCAACGAAAGGAATTAATACCATCCATACGAAAGCATGAATCACAATTCAAAAAAAATCCAACGACTGAAATAAAAAGAGTCGAATTGATTGGTAAAACTATTATCCGATTTAAATTGTTATTAACTTGTTTTTTAATTTAGAAGTGGATGACGATGATGATGATAATGATAACAATATGGAAGTCTCCACTGCAAATAGTGATGAAATTTTCAAATCATCACAATTGGATTCTTTGTCTCATTTGCCTTCTGTGAGTAACGATTCCACGGTAAAGCGTCGTAGCGAAGATTCAATTTCACGAGAAAATGATGCTGGAAAATCACGACGTTTCAAAGAAAATGATGGCAATATTGGATCCGTAAACTTACAATCCAATGAGCATTCCGGTATAATGGCCGCTACGCAGTCTAATTATGTAGCGAAGACCGAGAATTCTGGACTTAAAATCTTCGACTCTAACAATGTGATACAATCTCGCCTAAATAAACAATCCACATCGAAACCAAGAATAATCCTTCCATCTCAAGATCGACTAATTCCTTTAAAAGATAAAATCGACGAAATACCCGAAAATTTCATGTTGCCATCACGTAAAAGTCGATCAAAAATTGAAGATTTTTCTCAATTATACTCATCTTTAGATATTTCATACGACGATTTATAAGTGTATTTTTTTATAAAATTGAAAATTTATTTTTCTAACATTTTGAAGTGTTATTCATCATTTAAATACAAAGGTATATTGTTCATAGAAATTGACATTTTTTGAGGTATTTCTTCGATTGTTGTAGTTAATCGATTATCATCATCACCATCAAAATTTATCGGAAGATATGCTCTTGAAATGGAACATTTTGTTTTTGACTGTTCGTCAACTATTTCAGGTGATGACTGAGGAATGAAAAAATCTTCCAATAAGCTAGATGATTCACCAAGGTTATCAATAATTTCAGGATCTACCAACGAAGATTTCTCAACAGACATTGATTGCTCATCAGCCTCGAGATCTTTGTTGTCAAATAATTTTCTTTTTCTTGGTGTTGAACGAATCTTATGACTAGATTCTGATTCGAAAATTAATGGTTTTTTCATTCTACCGCTTCTTACTATCGATGGTTTAGTTTTTGAGGCAATTTTCTTCCATTTTTTGTTCCATTCATCTTTAGCACGGGCGACTAACAATTCGTTAGGTAAAAATGGAAATTTATTTCTAAGCATAATCATAGCATTGTAGAAAAAATCGTCATAATTGTAATTATCTTTATAAACTCTATCAAGAAAGTTAAATTGAAATGTGAGCTTAAGCTTTCTGTTAATAATAATTTTGGCCATTTCGAATAACAAAAATTTCACTCAAACAAAACAACACAAATGATTGAAAGTTGCTCAATCGAGTTGAAAGGATGTGGCAAGAAAATACAAAATTCTTGACTCACTATCGATACAATCGAAATTTTTGAAGATTCAGTTCAATTCAATTGGCAAATTTTTAATTTATTAATTAGAAAAGAATCTAAAACAAAATGACAATTTTATTTACAAAAAAGAAATTGAATAATAGTTTCTATAGTAGCCACTTTGGTTTTTAATCATCCAGAAATGTTATTTGACCTGGACCACCTTTACGCATATATCTACGATATCTTTTGTAGGCAGGATTTTCCGCCAATTTTGCACGGATTTCGTCGTCTTTTTTCTGTTTCCATGGTTCAAAATTTTCTCTGATCCATAATTCTTCCCGCATATATTCATCGATTTCATGTGGATCTTTTTGTGTCCATTGAAATTCCGAAAGATTCATATACTTTCGTATGAGATAATGTTTTTCCACTTCACCTAAAGGCTCTTTTTTAATATCAAATTTGTATATCCATCTGGCGTACCAATAGATATATTGGACTGAAATTAAAAAATGAAAATAAATTCATAATAAGAAAAAAAGAATCAATTGGATATTACCAATAAATACTGGAATGAGAAATAATTGAACCCATAGAATATCTTTGTACGATGGTTTTGAATATGCGCCTTCAATATTCATTTTATCTTCAATCACCTTTCGTATACATGCATCTTCTTCTTGTTTCAATTCTTCTTTTAGTTTTTGTTTATTACCTGGTCCTCGTTGTTTTACGCGGCTTTTGCCATCAGATGTTGATGTTACGGTTGGCCATATACCTTCATCCAGGGCTATATCTTTGGCTTGAATACGATATTTGGGTACTGTGACAAAATAATCGATGGCCTCCTTGTAACGTGAATTAGATGCATAATATTGATAGACTGATATCAGCGTAATAGTCACAACAATTACGATTCGAACATCAACTTTTGGTGCATAAACACGGCGATAATAACGATAATAATGATGATAATATTCTTCGGGATTATCCAACATATAATCATAATCTCTACGTGATTCGTCATCGCGCAAAACTTCATATGCTTGAGCAATCAATTGAAATTTTGTGGTGGCAATGGCTTTAGCCTCATCGCCACGATGTAAATCTGGATGCCATTTACGTGCTAATGCACGATACGATCGTGAAATTTCCTCCTTACTTGTCTCACGTGTCACGCCAAGAACTATATACAAGAGAAATTGATAAATAAAAATTGATTCAAAAATTTGTCAATAATTACCATTATAACAATTATCTTGACCACAATATAATCCTTCCAGAAAGGCATGACAATAATTCAAATTGTTTAGTATTGTGATTATGAAAAACACTGAGTTAAATGCTGAAATCTTCGTTTTCATCGTGAACAATCAAATAATGATATAAATGAATTGTTAATACGGATTCAAACAAAAACGACTTCTTCACTTTTTTCGAACGTGTTAAAATACTCGGTTATGATCAACAGTTATGCGTTGGCAGAACAGAAAATTAAACTGAAAGAAAAAAAATTTACTTGTAAATATATCAATATTGCGTAACTTTGGTAACGTAAAGGAAATGTCAATGGATCGGTGATCATATACGCACGCACACAGATAATTTTGCCACATTGGCAAAGCCAACCGGTTCACGAAATGAATGCAACACAAAAAAAACAAAGTAAATATGCGAAAGAATCAATGTCACAGACTATATCGTATCTTTGAAAAAAGCAGGAAGTAAAATATCAGTTTATTATAGATTGAAATAAACTATTCGACAGTCAATAGAAAATCCAATCCATTTGGAACGATTGAAAACTATCATGTGTCCTGTCCTCGGAATGATTAGAGCCAGAAACGATAAAAGAAAATAATACTTTCGATTCTAATGCCATCTAGTAGAATGCCCATAGAATCAATGTAAAAACCAAATTAAAGAATTAAAATTTTTAATTTCATCGAAGTTCAAAATTTAAAAACATCAATCAAAGAAACAAAATGTGTATCATAATGCCGACATGTGTATGTTATGAATGAAATAAAAAGAATTATAGCCCAGCTAATAATGGACAACAGCCATAAAAACTTGAAGTGAAATGAAGCTGAAATTTGAATTGTTTTTGTCGTTCGGTTAGACACAAGTTTATAATTTCCAAGCTTGTCGCATCATCAAATCAAAATACATGTCGTCGTCTATTGAAGCACTTACGCCAGAATAATAATCCAGAAATTCTTCTTTGGTAAGCTGAAAAAATCAAAACAAAAAATTATTTCGATAAATATATTCGAAATGTTAATAACAGTACCTGACCATCAACCGAGCCATTTTTTTCAAATTTTTTGATAAAATCTTCCAACAATTCCTGTTCTGTTTTATTTCCATTTAAATATTCTGGATGTGATTTAATATTATAGACACCTTGTAGATCCTGTACGGTAATAATACCATCACCAGTTTTATCCATTTTTGCGAATGCTTTTTCCACCAATGATATACGCATCTTATTCATCGGTGGTCGAATAGCCTTAAGAAATTCATCATATTTAATAGTGCCTGATCCATCTTGATCAAAAATTTCGAAAACATTTTTGTATTCTTCTTCTGATGCAGTATACCCCAATTGCTCGATACCGTTACGAAATTCTTGATATGTTAGATCACCGCTTCGATTATCATCCATGATACGGAATTGTCTAAAAAACAAAACGACAAACATCAAACTCTCGAAATCAAATGTTATGTATAAATTACTTTCCCAATGCCAGAATACCGACAGTACCTCGTTGTAGACATAATAATCGAATTTTTTCAACGGGATCCTTCGTTATGGCTAATTGCCGTGCTGATTTTTCCATCAAAAGCTGTTCATTCCTTGTTTGTGCTGTGATTGGTCGAGGCATTTTTTTGGTGGTTTTTTCTGTGGAATTTATTCGATTCGATAACTTTAATAATTTTGATTTCCGAAGTAATTATCAAATCTTGGTTTTTATTGTGATGCAACAATGACAAAATTCAGAATGAGCCGATAAATAAATGTTTATAACGATGTTGGAACAGGGTTGTCAGATAGCAATAATGTTGCGTTGAACAACAGGATTGTCTGCCTGTATGTGTATATTTTTTTTTTTTTTTTTTTTTTTTTTTTTTTTTTTTTTTTTTTGCCTGTATGTGTATATATGCGACATAAAAAACAAGGTCAATAAAACAAATTTTTTTTTTTTTTTTGAAATGAAATCCGGTACTATGACATATACAGACGACAATTTATTTAATTAAATTTTTTGTCATTTATTTTTTTTAAATGTAGGATTTTATCACAATCAAAAATAAAGGAAATAGAAACAAGCGACAACAATTGTCAAATTAAAATTAAAACTATGTTTGTTTTTTTTTAAATTTCGTTAATTTATTCTTTAAGTGTTGCATAATAAATTAACAAAATTGCATTCTTTTACATTTACAATAAAACCAATATTGATAACAATAAGTATTGAATTGAATTTTCGATTACTTACCGTATTTTCGAATGTAGATTATTATCGTGAATTTAATAATCACTGTTTTCAGATTAGATGATATCAATTCGTATATTAATTACAATGTTGATTATTAAATTTTTATCACCAAATGCAATGACCAAGATTCTGTTTTGTCATAAAAAGTTTTTTTCTTCTGTATATGAAAGTATATTACATACACATGTATATCGTTTTTTAGGTTATTTATTAGTTTTTTTTTCGTAGCAATGCGTATATGATTGCGAATGTATAGGTTGTGAATGAATACACATATATGATCCGGAACAAAAAAAACTTTTTCTCATCACACAGGTAGACATTGGTAACAAACAAACAAAACAAAACAAAACAACAAAACAAAAAAAAAATCGACCAGAATAAGCTATAGAGAAAAAGAGTGTCACTATAACGAATTAATGTATAGCATTGCATATAAATAAAATCAAATTGTATTTAAAAAAAAAGTATGACTTTTGAAGATACAATGAATTATGATTAATGGAAGTAGGCGTATGTATTATTTGTGTTTGGGTTACCATATTATTATTATTATTCTATTCTAATGGGACACATAAATAATATTCATATGTTCCAAATTATTTATGAAAAATTGTACACTTACAAAAAATGTTAAGAAACAAACTTGAACGACTTTTTTTTTTGTTTTTCATTTCAACACATAAAGCGAATAATTTTATTGGAAAGAAAACCGACAGATGGTTTTTGACAGAATTTATTTATTTAAAATTTTTTCGATCATTTTATCAATCTGTTCAAATTGCCATGGCCATTGAGTATTGAATAAAAATTGTCGATGATCAAAACGATTATCATCTGGAGAATAAGTTTCCGTATGAAGACTAGGTGTTAGTATTGTTTGCTTATGACGATTACGAGCATATAATGTAAAGAATCGTTTCACTTTTGATGCCAATAATTTTGGTTCAACCGTTTGTCCATTGAACGCAAGTCGAACATGATCAGAATAACGATCATTCCAGATTTTACAAAACATTCCGTATGGGCCATAAGTACCATGTATTCCACGACGTATTCGACCGAACAGACTAAGTTCGTCATATGTCAATCCTAAATCTTCTTCATCTTTCTGATCTTGGCCGGTTAATTCGGCACTAGGAATAGCATTAATAATATGATCTAAAACTTGTTCAGAATTCGGAATAATTTTTTTGGAATAAATCATAAATCTTTTAAGATCATTTTTACTAATCGAACCAATCGGATTAAGATCAGCAGATGAACAATCATATTTGGTTAGATAGCCAACGAGTGCTTCATCAACGTTTCCTGTAGCCAATACTAAACGATTACATTCACTCATATAATAGGTCAAAACCATTCGAATTCTAGCTTGTACATTTTGCTGTTGTATGGTTACATCATTGGTAGATTTTGATTCAATACCTAATGGCACTGTATCGATAATTTTATGATAAATATCAGTAAAATCATATGTTTGAAAATCAGCTCCAACCAATTGAGCAAGATTTTTTGCCCGATTAAAGCTGTCCTGGCCTGAGAATTTTGTACGTAAATAACAGCAACGTAACAATCGTTGGCATATATCTCGTGGCTGCAATTCAACTTGATTATTTTCTACATCTAAAATTGGTTTCAATGATTCAATCACGATACGATTTTTGACAAAATAAATTTGGTGATACAAAAATCGACAAAGTGAATAAACAATACAGACGACTGAAGATGAATCCAGACCACCACTTAAAGGCACGATGAATCCTTTTATTCCACCAGGAATACATCTTCGTAGATAGTCCCATAGCCATAATGAACAATAACGCATAATTTCTTCTTCAGGACAGAGTTGAACGAAATTTTTAGAAATGTTAGTTGTTGAGTTTCCAATAATCGAATTCTTGAAAAATTCACTATTCTCCATAGAGATAGTGTTTGCATCAGATATATCAGAATAAAGGGTACTGTTATCTTCATAAGGCTTGCTATCGTTGAATTTGATAAATTTTTCCGAAACACTACAACTTCGAATAGCAATATTATTCTGCAATCGAAATTGTTGAATATTTACTGGATCCACTATCGATAAGGTGACAGAAACTTCTTCAAAAAGTTCATCGAGCGATACATTTGACATTGAAAGTAAATTTCCATTTTCTACGACAAAACTTCGTCCATAAAAACAAAGACGGCCACCGCCATCGCACCCAATATTATTGACATAAGCGTAGACACCTCCTGAAATTCAATAAATTTAAACTGATTAAATTGATTTTTTTTTTTTTTTGCAAAATTCTAGTACCAGTTTTGCTAGTGACCGAACGAACATGGTTATATGCATTGTCTAATTTCCGAAGTTCCCAATATGAACTGGATGGGTTAACAACTAAATGGCATGCCCGTAGACCAAAATGACGATTACTTTGAGTGTCGGAATGCCATAATTCTTCACAAATTTCGAATCCAATTCTTAACACGCCCAATGAAACTTGTAAATCACTGCTGTCGATGACATTATCTTTGATTTCTATGATTGCCCCGTCACCAAATGGAACTCGTTTTTGTCCGCATATTTCTGTTATTAACGGTGGCAATTCAAACCATGAAATAGATCCATTCGTTCCATCATTCCATGGTTTAAAATAACGACTTTCCCTAATGAATAGTGATTTAAAAAACTACGTCAGCAGTGTCATTTATCGATGATGTTTGACTACCTATAATTTCCGTGTATGGCTAATCTATTTTTAGCTCTGATGTAAACAATTTTCGAATTAAAAATAACCGTAACACAATTATATAAGCAAGAGTCTTTGATGACCGGCATTCCAATACAGATCATAATGTTACGATAATTTTGTTTGAGAATTTCACCAAGAATTTGCCATGAATGAAATACCGTATCCACTTCATAGAATGCATCTTCACAACCATAGCCTGTTATTTCGAGTTCAGGACCCAAACGAATAGAAGCTCCAAGTTCGATAGCTCTTTCGATACTTTTTAAGATTCGAGATAAATTACCCTGAAAATCTAAACATAGTTGATTCAATGTACAAATGGCTATCCCAAACTTATATGAAGACATGTTGAAAAATTAAATTTTTTTAAATTTGAAATTCTTTCATGAAAAACATCTGACTGCAGAATTTAGAAGTGGAAAAAAATTCCAAGGAAATTTCCAGCTAATAACTTTTTCATAAATTTCTCACGGCTATTTCAATTTTCTTAATTGCTTTTACTTTGATAAAAATTATTCCATGTATTTTTACAATCATAGTTTTTGAAATTATTTCCAAAAATATATTTTTCATTATCAGAATCTAAATTGTAGAATATTTTTTGATTAGAATCCAATAAAGGCCAAGGTAATCGTCTAGTAAAATGAAACGTGAAAATCTTTAGAAATTTGATGACAGACAAAAAAGATTTAAAAAATACCTTTTGTGAATAAAATATTTGATCATCTGAATGAGTTCCATTGAAACTAACCGATCCGAATGATCAAATAATGTGGGTTGTAGGAAAGGAATACCAAACATGGCGAACATTTCAAACGAATGACATGATCCCATCCAATCGCCGCACCAAACCCGTTGAAATGTGTTCCAAAATGAACTTGTACGATGGCTACCCTTATATTGCCAATAATATTGATATATGGAAGATTTTTTTGTCGCAAGTAAAGAATCAATAAAATTTTCCATTGGGCAAACAATGTATCGATCACCAAGCATATTGGTTATAATGCGATGCAGAATGTTTGTATCAGCAGTAGCCATTTCCGTATTGTGAATTTTCAACAAAGGATTAAAATAATAATCTATAATTTTCGTCTCTGATCGACGCCATAATTAAAACAATTATGTTTAAATTGTTTAAAATCAAATACTCACTGTTAATCGGCAATGATGTAAACATTTTGTTTAAAAATATTTCCGCCGTTCTCATTGCTTGGTATAGTGATTGCATATGTAATCGTATCTGTGTTCCGAAATATTCACGATCTTCAAGCATTGCAATCCATGATCCTTCGTCATTTGTGTAGCCATAGAGAATGGATAAATTCATATTGGATAAGTTTTCTAAAAGTTTGATTGGATTATTTGGTTGAAAATGTCCATCAATCATGATCGGAATGTTTACAAATAATTTGTCCTCTGCCAATTGTTTTACCATTTCCATTGAAACTAAACGACTTCGATTCTTGACTATTTTAGAATCGACACAATCAATTATATTTTCTGCATTATTGCAATTCATATAACGAAGGTAATTTGACCAAAATTTGGTGACTTGTTCGGGGTCATTCATTTCATTAATTTGTAATGGAGAACCACTCATCAAAATTGCCTGGCTAAACAAACCTTGGCTTAATGGCGAAAGAATGTGCATTCCAACCGACAAAGCTGCGGACGATTGGCCTACCAACGTAATACGACTTGCGTCACCACCGAAATATCGTATATATTTATGAATCCATTTGAGCGCTTCTACTTGATCTAACATTCCAACATTCGGTATAATGTTGGTCATATTGAGTCGATAGAAAAAGCCATAGAAATTAAGACGATAATTGAATGTGACAACAACGACTTCGGCATGATGTGCAAGAAACAATCCATTGTATTTGAATTCGGAAGCCGATCCAAATATAAACGCTCCAGTATGGATGACAACGATGACCGGTTTTAGCGAATCATTGCTTACTGGTGACCAAATATTTAGATAAAGACAATCTTCACTGAAATTATAATTATTTAGTTGCAATGATTGATCAGGTTGCATACAAGGATTCGGCCAATGATTGGCATCGATTGTTTCATTCCATTGTTGTTTGGATTTGGGCGGCTGAAATCGTAATTCACCGATTGGTGCATCGGCATATGGTATTCCTAAAAATACCCGTATTTGATCACCATCAATTTTTTCATTGAAACCGGAAATTTTTCCAGATTCAGTTTCAACGATAATTTTGTTCACATTCAATTTAGTTCTTTTACCATCCGTAAGTGAATTCGGCTTTCCATAATATAGAACATAAATAATTACCAAAAGGATAGCATTCACCACAGTTAGGCCAATGATGGATTTATTATAAATTTTAGACATTTTAAATGTTCATCATAGAAATTTTGGAGATGAAATGATTGTTGTCATCTATGGATTTTGCATACACTTACCAAAGCGAAACTTTTGCGGTTAAGATTTTTAAATTCGAACTGCTATGATATCTATGGACAGACTAACTTAAATCAGATGAATTGAGCCTTGAATTTTGCTTATTTTTATTTGTGTTTTTATCGAATTTTACTTGAAAAATAAAAAACAAAATGGATTATAATGCATCATTTGCGATGTCCCCGAAATTGATTCATGTAGGAAGTTCCTGTTTTCGAAGATTAGACTGTGATCCTGATGGAATTATCGAAAATTTAACTATCAATCATCGTACAATTGCATCTAAAAATATAATTTCTCAGTCAGGTAATTTTTTTAAAACTAATTTTATCTCTTGTATTTATAATTATTCACCCTGTATAGGACATGGTCACACGAAAAATTATTCTATCGATCAACTTGAAAGCGATGATTGTATCGTTTCAGCAATTAATAATGATGACGGAGATTATCAATTTGGTGATGGCGAAGGATTGCGTTTTGATGAAAAATCTAAACGATTCATATTGACATTGCATCTATGTAATACTTTTTTTGGTTACTTGATTGGTAAAAAAGGTCAAACCAAGATGAATATTGAATCCGAAACTATGACTTCTTTGAAGATACCAAAATTGAACCAAAATGACAGCCAAAATTATATTCAAGTTCAAGGCGTGAACAAATCGAATGTGTTGCAAGCTTTTAAACGTATTCGAGATTTAGAACATAGTTCTCGTTTGAAGCAATCGTTAACACATTTTATCTCCATACCATTATCATTTAAACCAGAAATCAAGAAGCAATTTCTTAATTTCAAAACGGCAATTCTTTCTGATCCAAAATTATCAATTACCAAATCCATTGATGAATCAGTATTTCAATCGGAGCACAGATTGCATTTAACATTGCGTATTTTATATCTTGGTGATTCATATGAAAAAAAGAAAGCCATGAAATATTTAGACAATTTTTATCAATCATATTTACAACCTTTTCTGGTGGAACATCAATCACCAATAATATTACAAATGAAAGGAATAGACATTATGAATGATGATCCTTCCGAAGCTAATGTTGTTTATGCAAAAGTGTTTGAAGTTGGTCAACAAGATTTATTTCGTCAGATTGTCAACAAACTCTATGATTGTTTCAGTCGATCAGGTTTAGAATGTGAAGCAGATCGTTATGAATTGAATAACGAATGGAAAGTCAAAATTCATTGCACATTGATGAATACACGATATCGTGATAAAAATGATCAACATGATGGAAAGGAACGAAAATCTCGATCAAAAATGAATGTTGGTAATATTCTGGAAAAATTCGCTGACTATGATTTTGGTCTTGTACGATTGAGCGAGATACATTTATCGGCAGTGGATTTTTATGATGAACGAAATCATTATTATTTACCATTAAATAAAATTTATTTCTAAAAAACGGAACTTATGTTTGTAAAAACGCAAAAACGTGAAGAAAATATCATTGCTCAAAACTGAAATAGATTGGACAATACATATACAAACATTGTTTTGTGTGTATCTGTATGTTTGGCCCTGACCGTTCGAATGATGATGGCCTGATTATACCGTAAACATGTGTTCTGTCATATTGATGAGGATCATTATCATCATGTTTAAAAGCCTGGAAGGCATTTTGTTGATCAATCAAATTGAAAAAAAAATTCGATTCAGTTCTAAAAAAATGTTTTTATTTGATTTTTTTAAAACATATGTTTGTTTGATACATTTCAAATTTTATATAAATTCAATAAAATATTTACAATAGGATTGCGAAATGAAACGAAAAAATGTCTGTTTTTTTTATCATCCATCGTATATTTATAAATCATAAATGTCAAATTTGAAATTGGCTTGTTTTTTTGCTGTTGCTGTTGATAAAAATTTATTGTATTTTATTGTTAGTACTGGTTCACACACGGATATTTTTCTCTTTATTTATTTGAATGAATGTCATTTAGTTTTTTTTTCTTCATTCAGGAACTCGTTGATATATACGAAGACATTTGACATCATTGGCAATTGATGTCTGTGATTGATCGTCGATAATAATCATATTTCAAAAAATAATCAATTATTAGATGGAAAAGAGCATAAGAGAAACTAACAAATAAAAAAAACACTTACAACTTTAATTTGATCACCATTAAATTCACGAATATATTTGATTTCCATATCACCATCACGTTGTGTTTGAATTAATTGATTTCCGTCAACAAATTCAACAACAGACTATTTGAATAAAATTTAAATAATTAGATTCGAGGAAGGATTAAAAGATCAAAGAAAATTTGATAAAAACCAAAACAAACAAACAAACAAAATATTACACTGATGACATTCAAATTTTCATAAAATTTGAACATATTGAAGAGAAAAAGACTAATTTAAAATGACATTTAAATTTGAAAACACTAATGATACGCATAATCATATGAATATGAAATCGGAAATGAAATGGAATTAAGATATGAATGTATCCATTGTATGCGTTGTATAATTATGCAAGTACGTGTGTGTGTTTATTATTTTGGAAAAGATCAATGACATCAAACATAATAAATTTTCAAAAACAAAAAAAAAATTCAAAAAAAAAGAGAAAATATTTTCAAATCTCACCTTGACACGTTTACCATCAAGCCGGTCTTCATCAAATTCTTCACCCAATTTAAATCGAGTTTCCGATGTTTTAATTACCGTATGGGATTTGAAGATTAGATTTTCATTTTGATCTTTAAAAAATTCAACAGTTGGATATGTTGTATTGGCAAGTTTACGTTTCATTAGTCCAACACCTTTTGTACAATGATTTTAAATTATGGTGAATGCATTATGGTCTGATTCATTAACAATTCTACAAAATGATGAAAAATTGTGTACTTACCGATTTCTTTGAGAAAGCTATCAAAATTTTCACTGGTGGCAAGCTTATATTTGCCATAAAATTTTTCGGGTATTTCAGGCAACATTTTTTTTCTTACTCAGTTTATCGATCTGAATCTTATTATGTCTAGCAGGGAAATGATAATTTTAATTTTTCTTTATTGGTATGTGCATGTGATAAGATTCGTAACCGAAATGGTTATGGCGAATTTATTGCACGGTATTTATATAGAAATCTTTGAAAAACAAAGGCTACAATCAATCAATCAATCAATAGAAATAAGAATATTTGAAGAAAATAAAAAAGTTTTCATCAATCATAAGTAAATATTTGATAAATTATTATTATTCACTAATTTCATTTGGGTGTAACAATTTTTTTACATGCATATAATCAATTGAAAGATAACAAGGAAAAAAGAAGAGAGAAACATTATTGGGATGCAACGATACAACAACAACAACAACAACGAAAACGGATACGAACAATCGAAAGTTGCTAGATATAAAATTTTACTATTCAAAAATTCTAATATTTCTGATTTTTATTTTCTATTTGATTTTGGTTTTGATTTTTGATATCTCACCAAAATGATCATCAAAATGGTGATGATGATGACAAAAGCAAACGACAAAAAAAATATGAATAGAAAATATTTGTCTTCAGCTACAGTAAACAAACACATAGATAGAAATTATATAGATAGTTACAATATAGTATTTCGATATCTAGAATAAACAACATAGTCCTGGATCGACTATACGCAAGTGAATGCTTCTATTTTTTTAAAAAATCATATTCTATAGAATTAAAATCATGATAATAAATATATAGAATAAAATAAAAAATTATTACTGGATTATAGTAATTCAAAACAAAATAATTCATAAAAATCAATGAAATTAATTATGTTTATAAATGTATTGATTATAATGATGATTGTTTTTCATATTGATATTTATTATCGGTTTTTTTCAATGAAATTGGTTGTACCCGAAATGAAAATTTATCAATAACATGATGTATAACTATGGTAAAATATTGAAAATAATTGGTTGGATATGCAATAATTCATCAAATGTCAAGTCATACCATTTTGTTATCATTAATATCTATCAAATCAATTGAACCCGAAACGACCAAAAAAAATTGTTCGATAACGATCATATGAGGAATCAAATTATTTGAAACAAACGGCACAGAAACATATCTAGTTATACAAAAAAAAACGATATCTCAAAGTTCAAAAATGATAACCAAAACAAAAAAAATCAATTAGATTAAATTCGGAAAAACAGGATTGATTTTTTTGGTCGATAAATATTCAAAAAAAAAGAGCAAATATATAATAAAAAACGACCGAATGCCAGGTACAATATTAAGAAAAACAGGAAATTACCTTGAGCTGTTGAAAAATGTAACATCATTCGGAACCACAGAAACATAAACATAATAAAATGACAAGGAAATTCATACATTCAAAAACATGGAAACAAAATAATTTGTCATAATAATAATAGTGATTAGTGCATCAAGCGAAAAAAAAGAGAAAGAAAATAAAATTAGTTATTCAAAATGATGATGATCAATACATTATGTCATATGAATGTTTATAAATAGTCATTCTGATCTGGTTTGTATCGATTCGAATAATTGAATGGAATTATTTTTTATCATTTTTCATAAACCATTTGTGACAAATATCTCATCTCTTTTTTTTCTCTCTCTCTCTTTTTCTAACAAATTTTTCATTCTCATTTTAATTGAATTGAATTGAATGGAACAACAACAACAAAACTTTACTGATACAATATGTTATTGTAATAACATTATTTATTCAATTAATAATAATAATAGAGAAAAACTATGATGTAACAACAACATGTAAATGTTATTTGTACTTGACCGACTACAATCATTATTTGATCATGATGATAATGATTGATCAATGAACATTTTGTTGTTGTTGTTGACTAGATCATTAAAGATGATTCAGGTATAATTATATAAGTGCATGTGTGTATTGAACTACAAAAATTATAAATAATTATTCAAACATAAAGATTACCATAATTGATTTGAAATTTTTTCGATTGAATTTCTATTCTGTTGGCCTATCTTGTTTAGTAATGTATCGCAATCTAGTGATGAAAATAGAAAATTCAAATTCAAAAATTTATTGCTGTTTTTTATTATACCTCTCTTTTGTTGGTTTTTTTATTAGGAAAAAAATCAAATAATTTCCAAAATGTTCCAGTTTTTTATGAGGCATTTTTTTGGATAAAATTTCATTTATGACATTATCTTTAATGTAGGGTAAAAAAATTAATTTATTATTTTAACAATTGGATTATGATTATTTCAGTTGAAAAATGATGAAGATCCTATTTTGTTATATGATAAAAATTATGACCATAATAATAAAAACACAGATTAATGTAATTAAGATAAATGTTAATTACAATAGAAAATTTGCAAATAAACCAATTCTAATGGATTTTGAAATTTAAATCATTTGTGGCAAATATGTATAAAATGAATGAAAATTTTTAAGAACAATTTCATTTTAAATCTCAATCTTTTTTTTGAGATTTGTTGAAGAAAAAAGAATAATCATAATGAAATTCATCATCCTTTTTGCATTAATTGCTATCGGAACATCTGTAGCGATTGGTGAACAGGCCATTCGTCTTCCATTACCTGATGCCATAACGGAAAAGTTTCCATGGATGATCAATGAACCATTAAATGATGAACGTGAAAGAATTGTTGGTGGTTCGAATGCATCACCGGGTGATGCTGTTTATCAAATTGCATTGTTTCGAAAAGATTCATTCACCTGCGGTGGTTCGCTTATATCATCGAGAACTGTATTGACTGCTGCTCATTGTGTTTTCGGGTAAATTATTTAGCAAAAAAAAGGATGAAAATTCAAAATTTATTTATTTCATTTTATTTTTAGCGATGAAGCAACACCTTCATATTTTAAGATTCGTTACAATACATTAGATCGAACCAATGGTCCGACTATAGGTGTCAGTAAAATTTATCGTCATAACTTATATTCATCATCAACCATTGATTATGATGTTGCTACATTGATTTTATCTCAACCTTTTACTCCGTCGGCCAATGCTGATATTATTCCGTTAACAACAAGCGAGCCAGCTGATGGCACAAAACTTCAGATTACCGGCTGGGGAAGACTTAAATCCGGTGGTACATTGCCAACAATTCTACAGATTGCAAGTGTAACAAAAATGTCTCGAACCAAATGTTCGAGTACTTGGGGCTCTGTCAATGCAATTACTAATCGAATGTTGTGTGCACACAATTCAAAACAAGCATCATGCAATGTAAGTGTTTTGAAGAATTTTTTTCAACAAAAAATAAAATTAAAATTAATTAATTCCAAAACACAAATCTAAAATCGACAGGGTGATTCTGGTGGTCCTTTGGTCTCTAATGGTCATTTGGTTGGTGTAGTTTCATGGGGTCCATCAACATGCTTGAGTACCAAATATCCGACCATTTATAGTAATGTTGCAAATCTTCGAAATTGGATCATTTCAAATACAGTTTAATGATTAATCATAATCATTTGAATAATTATTGAATTTTAATAAAAATTTATTTTAAATCATTATTAATATTTTTGATTGATTCTTTGATAAGTTTTATTGTTGATTCCTGTTCAGGTTTACAATTGCTATCAGAGTCGTGCATATTTTTTGCTTTGTTATTATTACTATTATGTTGAGGTTTTTTCGATTTTGTATCGGTAATGGATGGATTATCCTTTCCATTATTACGAATTGTATGTAAATTAGGTTTCGAAGTTATTATTAACATCATCTCTTCTTTATATTCGATCTGATGACTTTTTGATGTTGTCGTTAAATATGGATCTTGATTTGAAACATAAAATTTATGATAAAATATGGTGACAAAAAATATTATGATGGAAATGATGACCAATACAATCAATACGATAAATAGAATAAATGGCCAAATATTGTTTTCAGGAAGTTTGATACATGATTCATAAGTAATCGATTGTTGACAATCATCACTAATTTGACAAGGACTAGATTTTAATTGTATACACCAATCAGTATAAACTGATTGTGTATCATTCAAACAATGCATATTCATGCATGAACACATGATAATTTCATTACAACACTGATGAATATGATTCGTAGTTTTCTTTTTGTTCATGATTTTGCTACGTTCGTCATTACATGTTTCATTTAATCTACCACCATTTTCAGCGTAAGTCGAATGTATAATCGATAATATGATCGACAGTAAAGGCATAAAAATCATGATTTTAACTGATTCTCTTTCGCATATAGTCATGATTGAATGCTGAGAACAAATCCATTAGAATCAAATTTACGTTTACATTTTATAAATCAGATTCAACAACCATTCATTGATAATCGAATTAATAATGATCGAATTATTTTGTATGGCGGGCATTTCTATTTTCAAAAAAAAATCCAAGAGGGAACATTGTTCATGAAAAGCTCATTGGAAAACATTTAAATTGTACATTGAATAATGCTGCTAGCTTTTTCTCGGGACAAACAGCTCATTTTTCATTCGAATATTCATCTGATGATGATGAAATTCAATTTGAATTTTGCAATGGTTTTTTTCAAACTGATTCATCATTGCAAGTAATAGTTTGAAGTTTTGTTGGGAATAATTTCATTTCGAGATTTTGGCTTTACAAATACCCAAATAATTTAGCTAAAACATTTTATGAATGTGATTTTTATCGGAATTTTCCAATTGATACTCAACCGTAACTATAAGATTTTATATTTTGTAAATAAGGTAATTATATTGCAATTAAATTTCTAAGTTGGCTAAATGATTGTCGCGGTTTTCTAACTAAATCCAGTAACTATGTGAAACTGGTTGTTTGATATGTATATGGGTAAGTCAGAGTTTCCTGTCTGTCTTTACTTTCAACCTGAATTGTGGGTATATATGACCGACCACAACGAAGAAGAATTTCTTGTTTTTCTTCCCGTTATATCTGTTTTTTTTATTGTTTCTGCTCTATATACAATTGATTATAATGGATTTTTTCCTATATTATTTCGGTTCATTGAAGTAGTACTTATTAATGGCACCATTTTCATATATAAATGAATTTGTGTATAGCTATAAATTCTAGAAAATCGGCCCAATCATCATTTTGAATAATTTCATTGAAGTTGGTGTATATAGGATTTATTTTTGAGTGTTGTTGCTTGAAAACGCCATTGTGTTGATACCAAAACTCTATGTATCCCGTTCATCGTTTCGCCTGATACGATGTATATGCTTATTATTGTGTGATGATGTTCATGTTTTTTGCGTTATTCCATTGAATTGTGAGCGCTCGTATATTTCATTAAGTTATTATTATTATTATTTTTGTTGTTGATTATTGTGATTCGATTTGTGATCATCTTTTGTTGCCAATAATTAATCATTACATGCTAGACATTTGTCATTCATTTTGATTTGGCTGAATTTTTATTATCTAAACAAAAATATAAATTTCGTTTGTAATCACGAATCAAATTCAATTAAAACCAACCAGAACGCAAGATAATTGCATTTGATATCTGATTGTTGATTGAACAAAATAAATATTCATTGTCAACAAACGAAACCAATATTTTTTCATCAGATTTAGTTTGAATATTTGATTTCGAATCTAATGGTAAGTTGAGTTGGATTTTATTCGTTGAGTTACATTTTATGGATCGACTAATTTAAAGGCGAAATATCACATGACATTTGAATAATAACTCAATGATTAAAAATTTGATCAAATGTCATCAACCATCATACATAATTTGATTTCATTTTAATACATAGTTTTGTTTTATCTAAATTATATTTAATAAAATTTTAAAATTCATCAATCGATATATTAATAATACTTTGAATATTTTCAGATTGGTTCCTTTTGAAAAGCATAATCATGAAGTCTATCTTGGTCTTTACATTTTTGGCATTAGTGCTTTACACGAATCTTATCCATTGTAAAACCATTGCCAAACCTGAACAATCATCGCAGACACACTTGACAACCACAACGGCTACATCGCATAATGTTGATGAAAAAAAATCGGATTTGCATCGTGTTCGTTTGATGTCAACATCAGATGACAATGATGAGAAACAAAAATCATGGTTACCAATATTTGATGAATCACTGAATACTTCAGCTGATGACATCAAGCAGGCTAATGCTACTAGTTGTTCTGAACAATGTAAAGAACATTTTGGCACCACCAGTGACGATTTGGAAAAATTTCAATCCTGTATCAATGGATGCCGATATTATACGATCAATTTGATATTGACACAGAATAACATTTCAGCAGGTTATACATCATCTTTATCTTCAGTCAAATCCGAATGCTTCAACTCGTGTTTAAAAGTCTATCCAAATGATACAAAATCAATAAGTATCTGTAATTTTGGTTGTCGATTGGCTGATAATGCTCAAACTGAAGAACCAAAAACACGGCCAATAATAACAATTTCATCCGTAGATGCACACGAAGATTCTTCTCACAATAACATGGCAGCAGACGCTATTGAACCGGAAAATTCTACATCAGATGAGGAAAGAACATTTTCAATGTTCATTCCTATTCCGATTCGAACAATAACATCGGCTAGTGAGTTGAATGGAAATTCACAACAGGAAAGTTTAGATAGAATTTTCACTCAAGACAGTAGTTCATCATCTTTATCTCGAATGATGATGTCAATGGTTCGTTCGATGGCTGAACGAGCGCGTCAAATGATAGATTTTGCCCGTACTCAGCAAAAAAATATGGAAGATAGCAGATTCTCGATGGGTTCAGATTCATCTGCTAACACGGGTGAAACTGGTGGCGAAGCTGTTTCTGTTGAACGTTCAATGTCGGTAATGATGACCAAAGATAAAGATGGCCATAACAAATTTGTTGTAATGCGTAAACCGCCAAAGATTACCATCCATCGAGCTTGGAATCCGTTGGGATGGGATCTTGATCAATTCAAGACTGAGAAAGCAACTGATTTGAATCGACGTTTTAAACAATTAGAACATGAGGGCCAAGAGGAGTCTGATGGAAATAGATTTAGAGTTGTGGTCCCATGGAAATGGTCTGGCGGTTGGAGCAATAATCGTGGTCAACAAGAACAGATTGGGGATGACGATCGATTTGGAAATCGCATGATTCATCGATTAACTTCGTTTGGTTTGCCTCCTAATCAACAAAACAATGAAGATCTTAGCCATGATACCGACGATGATGTAATGGTCATCAATACTGTTGATCCGAATAAATCTGATTCACTTCAATGGTCAACTTGTTTAATTTCCATGATGCCCTTGCTCTATTTGTTGATGGTCATTTTATTGTTGTACATTATCATCTGGCTCTTCTATTCTGTACCAAACTATTTCATCTGCATAAATCGCCGAAGCCGTTCACATCCTCCATCGAATGGTCGTAATCCATCGGAAACAATTTTACCATTGCCATTGGATAATGATAATTATCGCGAGACACGTCGCCGGGTAAGTGATAATAATTTATCTCATATACGATGGATTAACCCTTTTTATATTCAACAGCTTTTTCAAAAATTATTCCACTTGAGTCGAGCACAACGTTATTGTAAATTATCAGCATTCACTGGCTTAGGTGAGAAACCTTCACCTTTATCACCAGCAAGATCACCAACCAGTGTAGCAGGAGCTGATTTGAGCCCAACTGCTTCAACATTATCATTTCCTCCGCCGTATACTGAAGCAACAGCTGGAACTGAAACATTCTCTGTTCCTGAAAACGTTAATAAAGAAAAGAACTGAGTTCAAAATCAAAATTATACCACCAATTTCCAGCTATTAAAATCAAATATGGATCGAACAAATAATCTGCTTCGCAAAAAATTTGGCTTGAATTAATTGATCATATTCAATATGGATCGTTAATTATCTATACTTGATAATAATTAAAACAACAAAAATTTTGATCATAATTTTTTTTCGCGTTTTTTTCTACCAATATTCAAGCATAAATAAGCACACATAGGATTCCAACATACAAACACACGATTGATGATAACAATGAAAGTTTTTTCAAATTATCCATTATGTTTGATATATTATTCATTTCTTGATTAATCCTCGATGACCATACGTAAACACAAACACGATATAATCATAATCATATATAAAAAAATGAATAAATCCTGATTTTAATTTTGAAAAAGTTTCCAATCTTTTCAATTTTTATTTTCATTCATAAAAATATATTATCATAATAATAATTATCATTTACATAAATTTACCATTTCGGTGGTCTTAGTCAATTTCCATTGATTAAATTTGAAGAAATAAATAATTCACATCTATAGATAGCTGTTAATCAATAAAATAAAACAAGATGGCAAAAAAATTCGGAGTAAATTGAAAAAAAAAATCATAAGAAATTTAAAGACAATCATCTATTCAGATGTTTCAGATATACAATTATAAGTACAAATATCTCGTTCATTTTGATGATATTTAATGTATTTATCTTTCAGTTTGTGTCTTTATCATCATAGATTTCAAACTAAATTAACTTTGATATCGGCATCATCAGATTCAATAGATTTCAGATTTTTATCAACATGGATTGAATTTAATGGAGGAAGCGGTGGTGGCTGTGGATTCAATACTTTTAATTCTTCAGAATCAACATTATCTAATGTTTCTTTGATTGGTTTATGGTTTTGGGTTATGTTTGCAGAATTATTATGATGATTATAGTGCTTTTGTTTATCATAATGCAAATGTCCATTATGATCTGAGTGATTTTTATGATTATTTCGATAGGAATTAAGTCCATTCATTTTAGTTGTTGAACCTAATCCATTTTGATATGATGTTGATTTTTGTATTGTCATTGTATATGCCCTTTGATCAGCAATTGGCGGAATACCATTAGCACGATATCTTTGTTTATTAAGAGTTCGTCGTATACAATAAATTATACCACAGCAACAGGATGCGATGATTAAACAGATCGCACAGATTACGACTACAATCCACATAATCGGTAATGAACATTTACCAGATTCGATCGTATATTCTTGACATTCTTCAACTAATGCCGGCATGATCAGATCAGGTAATTTGAATACCATATCTGCTTGTATTTTTGTACATTTTTGTCGTGCTGCTTTCATCCAACAATCACGTAGCTTCCATGTACCACAACATTTTAATCGTCGATTCCATTCCTGTGATAATTCGATTTGTCCTAGAAATGATTTGGCTTTTTCAGCTCCTTTTTTATTACATTGTTCAAATTCTTTGTGCATTTGTCCGAAACATGATACCTAAATAAACATTCATTTTTTCAAATGAGAAAGGTACAAAAAAGAGAAAGAAAAAAAATTAAAATAAGGAAGTTTTTGAAAATTTTGTCATGACAACTATTTTCTTGCTTTTTTATCGGTTGAATAAAGATAGTGATCTGTACATGCTTTGTTATAGCAAATATTTGTCCTTAAAGATAACTTATCATTTCAAGATTGTTTACTTCGATTACTCAAAAACAACAAATGTATTGACTAAGCAATAGTTCTTAATTTTTAAATCGTACACACCTTAATAAAACACCTATTATTATCTTTAACCAACTTTTCTTTTCTTTCTTTTCAATTAAATTAGGATTTTATTTGAACAAAATTGAACATAGAAAACTCACAAGTTCATTATATTCCAATAGTTTATCGATATTAAATGTATCACTTTTTGATTCGGATGCCGTAACAGTTAAAATAGCTGTTCTAAATGGCGAGGATGAGATCATCATGACAAGAATGATTAACATTATTTTGAGCTTAGCCATGTTGATTGATGATAAATATAATGAAGAAGATGAATAATGATATATTTTTGATTGACGATTCGAATGATCAATAATTCTTGTTTCCATTTTCTTTTTGTTATCAATGTCATTATTATCACCAATAAATATACGATACAGAAAAGAATTTGAAAATATTTTCATTTTATGAAATTTTCGACAATCGGAAATCGACGAAAAACAATTATAACAAATAGATAATAAATCTTTGGCACTGAAATTTTCTTTTCGATGATTATTTTCAATGATCGACATTATGTTTTTGAACTTAAAATGGTTGATTTTCAATCAATTTAAAAAAAAATTTTAAGTATTGATTTCTTCACTTCATTGTGTTGGAACATTAATTAATTAATCAAAAATCATGATCTCTACTGTAAGAAGTTAGAGTTATCTGTTTAATCGAGAGTAGAAAAAAAACAAATATACAATCAATATAAATGGCAATACAATTATCGACGGAAAAAAATGATTATTACATACCTTAATATACAAGTGATGAATGATAAGTTGTTGCTAACGAAAAAAAAATTGATAGTACTGTTTACCAAAAAAAAAAGACAAAATAATAGATCAATTGACTATTGTCATTTTGTGTTCATAATGATTTTTCGAAAACTCCATCAATTCGATTCAAAATAGAAGCTGAAATTCGATTTATGATTTATTCGAAAAAAAAATTCGATTCAAAATTCGATTCAACGATTAGTTTTGGTTAGAATATACAAACAACAATTCTTCAACAATAATTCAAACAATAACAGTGAAAAAAAACATGTAATCATCAATAACTGAACAAGAGTTACACACATAAGATCTGGACATAGAATGAATATTTCAACAATTGATGGCAAACATGGCTGTCAATTGTCCTTGTTGATGTTTGATTTGGTATTTTTTTACACTTTGTTTGATGAAATATAAATGACGAATAAACACCAAAAGTGGAATTAAAGTACACTATGGACAACGGTTTTTTATATACTGAACATTATCATGATGATGAGAATAACATAAACTTTCTCGGTCACGTTTGTGATACGAATGAGTTAAATATTAGACAGAAAAAAAGCAAATAATGTTTAAAAGTGAAAAAATACAAACGTTTGGAAACACATACACAGAAAAAAATCAAACAATACAAGGTAATATAAGATTCAACAAAATGAATGATTTGAAAAATGATCACATCATCAACACTAAATGCATCATCATCATCATCATCATCATCAATGGACATCAATGGACGGCTATGATTGAATGACTCTTATGGGAAATGACGAAAAAGAGAATAAACCATTAAAAATTGGAAGTACAACAAAAAACCGGCTTTTGATTTCTCTCAATCTGGCTTTATTTTTTTACTTCATTCGTTCAATCATCGTAGATTGTTTCTCATCATTGATTTTAGGCTTCAATCATTGTTGTATGAATATAGTAATGGTTTCAATGATAGTCTTTTTCTTGAAGAAACTGGACAGTCTAACATCAATCGATTTGTTTTGTTCAATTAAATTATTGTCGCATTATTATCAAATAATCAATGATGAAAAATGAAAAAAAAACCCTTCAACGATTTAATGATTCTCATGTTCACTCACAATAATAATGGATCAATCATGAGTTAATAATAATATTAATAATAAAATAAAAGTAGTTAGTTGAAGGCGAAACATAAAAATTCCTATATAGATTTGGTTTGAATTTTTATTTTTATTTTTCGTATATATAGGATGTATTCAATGGATGCGGCTTCAATTGAATTCATGAAAAAAACTCATAGAATATGGAATCAAGATTTAATGATGCTACTAGCAGACCAATAATGTGTAATGATTATGTCCAAAGGTCCGTGGGCCGTATTGTTGCTATTAAAGAATAAGCGGTCTCGAAAACCGCCAAATATACGAAACAAAAGTTATTTTTGGGTTCCACGGACACTGAACAAAGAGTAAGAAAGAGAGAGTGTATGTGTGTATAACGAGACAAACAAAGAAAACAAATCTAGCTTGCTCGATCAATTTAAATTTCTGGCCATTCTAGTCTGAACTCAAAAAAAGCTTTATGCAAGTTAGTTAGCTTTTATGCGATTGACCTCGGCAAGGCATTTTAACACTACACCACAAACACGAAAATACACGAAAATATGAAGCCAATGTCTATACTTTAAATTATGGCTGTTTTCAACGAGTAAAATCTAGTTTAATTTTTATTTTCATTCACACAAATAGAAAGAAACGGACAAAAGCTTCCTTGATAGGGTAGTCTCGTATACCTGTAAATGCAACAACTGGTCATTTTTGGTGTTGGCGTCATCATTCATTCGCTTAGGTGAATCATTTGAATGATTGCGCAAACAAGCTGAAATTTTTTCATGTTCATTGAAAATCTGTGAGATTATTTGAATGGCGAATTTTTTTCAATTAACTTTAAAAGAAAAGAGACGCGCGCAGTTTTGTTCAGATTTTTAAATTAAATTTACATACGCATGTGCGACAATCACAATGATAAACGAATTTTGAATGAATTAAAATGTTTTTTTTTTATTATAAAAATGAAAAATGGCTTCCATTCAATAATTATATTTAGAAAAAACTATCAGACGATAGCTAAACAATTTGGTGATTAACAATAAATTGAATTTTCTATTATTGAAAAGTAAAAAAAAAAAGATGTCAGTGATTTGAAAGATAATAATTATATTCAATGTAAATGAAAGGTTTCAATCCAGTATCCAGGTAGAATAAGCCACGATATGAAAAAAACATCATTTACCGGGTTGCCAAGCAACAAGTTTTGCAAAGTGAATTGCGAAGTTTTTTCTTTTCTTAAAACAATTGAAAAAAAGCATCATTTTCACCAATGAATAAATACATGGATGGATGTATATGAGTGGGTGTTGTTTATTAACAGTAAATTTTTAATATTCATTGAAATATCTAAACATTTTCTTTAGGCTCTATGTTTGTATAATGATATCTCGATTACATGAATGGCAAAAAATTTTTTTTAATAATTTGTTATGCCAAACAAAATAATTAATCATAAATTAAAATATTCAACTAAATTCGATACGATTGATAATCATGTTTGTTTGTAGATTTTGAGCAAAACTTATATGTGATTGCATCTAAACAAAATAATAATCTTTAGATTATAATTCGCTATCATCATTTGAATGTGTGTGTGTGTGAATATATAATAAATGTATGCAAAATATATGATAATGATTCAATTATCGATTCTTAATATTTATCATTATTATTATTAATTAAATATAAGATGTGAATGAGTCTATATTTTAACAATGAAGAATTCCTGAACAATAATTTGAATAAATTTACTGATGAATGATGATATGGGGAAAGAATCATGTCAAATGTATAATAATGTGATGTCGAATGGATATAAGGGTTTTTGTCTTGTGAATTTGTGTAGGTTTTTTTCATTTGACAAATACATTTTCTTTTTTAATATATTATGTATACAGTAATGTTTTGAACAAATTCGAATTAAGGATCTGATGAAAATTTCCCTATTGTTTTTCTTACATTTAAGATAAAATACGACATTGTTTGTGTGTGTGTGTTAATGGTGTAGGCGATGAAATTATTATCATGATTTATGCCATGGACATTTTCATTAGAAATCGAGTTTTCAAATCAATGTGTGAATGTGAGCTTATGTAATCGTCTCTCATCCGGATCGATGGTGATAAAAATTGTATTGATTCATAGGAAACTTATATTGAAACAAAGGAGAAAAATAATAATTTAAACGAAATAATTCGATATGAAACGAATCATAAATAGTATTCTATGTTATCACAAGATTTTTTTTTTGTGTTCCGTGTTTAAAACAATAATCATGCATATAAACAATAAAATTTTGAAAAAATTTTGAATAATAATTTGCAAATAAATAAAAAGTGATGAATAAAAAATGATATTCAGAGGTAACATGTCTGAATGGATTTCTGTTAGTGTATTCGGTGTTTTTTTTCTGATAAAAAATTGTCAATTCTAAATTCGGGTTAAATTCATTAAAATGACTAAGATTATTCCTTATTTATCTTTTAGTAAAAGTAAATCACAGGGTAAAATTATATATCAACTTTTTTCTTTATATAAAAATTCACAAAAATTTGTTAGATTTGACCATCTCGTTATAGATCAGGAAATCGATTCGGGTCTTCGGTATAATCGGCTGGAATTTGAAACAAATTAGCATCAAGCTTATCATTATAATTAAAATTCAAGAATGTAACCCTTGCCAAAATAGTTGCGATCATCGGAATGTCTAAGAAATATAAAAAATTTAGTCATTTGTATCGAAAGAAAAAATTTCTATCAATTTACCAATTTTAACAGGAAATCCTGGTGGTAAATTCAAGTTGATGAATTCTTTTAATTTTTTGAAATGTTTGAATGTAGCAAAAACCTCTAATATGTTCAACAATGATTCGATGGACAGCGGAAATTCTTGACTCTATAGGAATAAATTTACAATAAAAAGTTTGGGTCAAAAAAGGAAAAGCACCTACCATTGCAACGGTGGCTTTTAAATTTTTTGTTCGTACTTTAAGATCCCATTGACGACCAAGGCATGGTGGCATTCCTTTTGTAGAATTAATGTATTGCTCCCAGGTGACCTCAGGTCTTGGAGGAGGTGGGAGAGATCTTCGTGGTTTGATTGGTAATTGATCCTCTTGACCGGACATGGCCGAAACCATTGCTGCCTCGATGAGATTTTCTTCATCGTCAGTTTCTTCACCACCTTCACCGATGGTATGCTGAACATCTGATTCTATTTCATGAAATGCATCACCATTCATCTGGTTATTACTGCCATTTTTAGTCAATGATTGCTGTGTATTATTAGATTTAGAAAGTTGATCAACATGGACAATATCATCAAACGATGATGATGATCCTTCTAAAGATTTTTGCGATGATTTTCGCTGATTTTTTTGCTGTTCCAAAGATTTTTTTAATGTTTCATAAATAGCTTTATTCGCATAGATATCTTCTTCACTCAGATGTTCACGACGTTTTTTCGTTTCGATGGTGAATCCATTTATGTTGTAGAAATCAGCATCAAATTGACCAACTTTTTCCTAGCATTATTCAAAAAGAGATGAATTTATCTAGAAATTTTACAAAAGAACAATTAATCTTACAGTCTTGTTGTAACGATTAAAAAACCAGCCACTCTGTGCTCTTGAAAATGAAATCGCTTTGGTGTTAGGTTGAAGATAAACTAAATCCGTGCTCATCAACATGTCGACATCTTCATCAATGTCCATTTCTTCATTATAACGAATATATTGATAAACTTTAAGCTCATTATCCATGATGACCAATGAATGACGATCGGTTGTATTAGAAGTGGAAGAATTTTTTCCAACATTATCACCAAGAAATAAAAAGGTTAAATTACCACGCCGCCAACGGCGATCATTAAAATCTAGAAGGGTTGTATCCAAACGAAATGAACATCCACGTTTGGCTATACCACAAACATCTGACGGCAAGAAACGTTTCAATAAAGGAATCCATGAATGAAATTCCCATCGTAATTCCATCTGAAAGTCTTTTATCTTTCGTAATGTTTCCATTAATTTTGGTGATCGATTACCCAACGATTGTCGAGCTTGTTTACGGCCAAGCAACAAAATACTTTTTACTATCATTATAAAATATAATTATTGGAATAAATTTCAATTCAGGTGAAATTGAGTTTAATTACTTATTTTACGATCACCATAACTAATCGCTTCATCTAACGGTGTCCACCCTTGAATATTCTTCGTTTTAATTGGGGAATTCTGCTGAAGTAAAAAATTTATAAGATCATGATGACCTAACATAACGGCCAAATGTAATGGAGTATTGCCATGGACATCTTTTTGGCTGACAATGTCAGCAATTTTAATATATTTGTTCCGTTCGGTAATGGACGATAATAATTCCGCTAGAACTTTGCATGGCTGATTCTCAAACACGGCACGATGCAATGGGTAGGGCTCTTTTTCGAGATCAGCAATGTTTATTGTAATCTGTGTTGTTTGAACATCATCAACTGCATCGACAAAATCTTCCGATTCTTCAGAACATCCTCCATCGGACATTTTTTCGTCACAAGCTAAAGTGGTGAATCTAAATCAATCAAAAGATAATTAACATGAAAATTGGACCATACCTTAAATGATAAACAAGAAAAATTGATTCGTTGTTTTTATCGGAAAAAACAAGCTCGAATAATGAACAGTCCTGATTTTACCTTATTCAAATGAATAATTATTTGTAAGATTGGAAAATTGGGTTATTCACCAGTGATTAACAAAAAAAACTAAACTGATGAAGAGATCAATGAGAGCAAACAATTATAACTGTAAACCTGATCGATATTTGAGAAAGTAAAAATAAAAGATTGACCGAAATCCGTAAAGAAAATATTTCATTTCAACTATTTTAATAAATCCCCCCGGTTTTCGACGAAGGAGAAGTATACAAGCAAAAAAATTCGCTAATGCCGCTACCATTTTGCCAAAATAATGTTTTCGCTGTTCATTGATGTTTGCACTTAACAAATATTTTCGATAAACTTGCAGTCTATAAATGTAATTTGCAGAGTTTTCAACTGATATATCATTCATGCTCTATTCTATGTCGCGAAATTGGATACATTTATCGATTCGTCACTTAAAATTTGAGATTTCAAATTTTTAATTTTTAATGAATTGAATTACGTATAATACAAAGAATAAAGACCTTCTTTCGTTTTATTCATCCCTATTCAGTTTGATTTATAATGCACAAATATATCAATATGTCATATTTGAAGGGACGTTGATTGCGTGAAATTCGTATTTTATTCAAAGTACAATTTATCATCTGTTTCTTTTATTCTTCAATTCTTACAGTTATAATGTTGTATTGTTTTTAATTTTCGTTCGAAAATTCGACAGTAGAGATTTGAATAACTTTTTCTTCATTAAAAAATGGATCATTCCTTCTCATTATCATCTTCATCATTCTCTATTCCATTTAATTTTGATCAAGTTCGACCCATACAAAATACATTTGTGAAAAAAATGATCAATAAACTAAATGATGGAGATTTTGCGAAATTCTATGGCTTTTCGATCCGTCATCGAAATGATCCTTTTTTATTTATGCAACAAATACGTAGAAAAGGATGGGATCAAAAAGACGATAATGAAACACTGGAATGCTATCGACAACTATTGAAACATGCAGAATGGATATTGTTTGAATTAATTTACAAAATCAATCAATTACGACTAATAATAACACCTTTAAATATGGATTTAATTGATCATAGAATGAAGCTATTGTATCTGGAATTTTTGTTAACAATATTGTTGACAATAATGCTGAAAATGAGAGCACTTTCAATGCATAAAATTCAATTGCTATTAGAGACTAAACAAATATATTCAGATTTGCTTAAAACTATGAAATTGCCTGAAAGAGAATTTTTATTGCAACTAGATAAATGTTGGTTAGAAGATTATATGGCTAAATATGATAAATATTTTGATTCAAGGTCGGTTATTCAAGGTTACTATTCGAAACCCGAAGAATTGAAATTTCTATCTGAAGAGTCCAACGCGTTGATGTTCAATTTTCGTTTACACATTCTTCAATCGATGAATACAGAATTACATCATTTTTTTAATAAGACAAAAATTAAGCCGAAACCAATTAAAGAATCAAATGTTAAACAACATGAAGCACCTCGATTACAATTTATTGATTCAGTTTGTTCAACACCCATATTTTACTCTAATGACGATGATATTCATTTTCAAGATGAAGATGGTTTAGCGTTGAAGAAGTCCGAACTTTTTGATAATGATATACAGCAAATTACCTTGACTACGTCGCCATTTTCTAAATCGATTCATAATTTATTCATAAATAACAAATCTTTTTGTGATTGTGGTCGCCATGATTGTAATGGATGTTATCCAACATGTTTAACATGTGGAGAAAAAAAATGCTTCGCAATTTGTCGATCCAATGTATCTTTCAATTATTATGATGTATTTTACCAAGCTCAAACTATTGATAAATTTGACCCGTTGTATTTATCCAATGATTCTGATAATAATGACAATGGGAATCAGCAACAGCAACAAGAATGCACTACCGATGATGATAATAGTGCTGAAACGCCACTAGAACAATTATCACGATCAAACAGTATTGATGATGAACTTACTATTCTTTCACCTGTACCATATGGGCCACAAAACATTGACAATTCTCCATCAGAATTTTTTAGTCAAACTTCCATAAACATTCTATCTGGTGATGAAGTTGAGTCTTTTTTCAGCCTCCCACCTTCACTTGATCACAATTTTCGAGAGAAAAATGATGGAGGAAAAAAATACAATTCAAATTGACATTTTTGAAGCAGCATAATCATTTTTAAATATATCGCATTTTTCTTTTTTATTCTTATAATATTTGGTTTTGAATTTTTTTATAATAGATTAAATGTTTGAATTTATAAAACTGCCAATAATCAAGTGTTAGTGAAATGAGTTTTTTGAACATGTTTATGTAAAAGATGTGATCGTGTGAATTGTTTATTAGGACAATGTGGACAATGGAATCGTTTGAATTGGCCACTATGTATTAATTTATGATTGTTAACATCAATTCGACGACAAGAACTATAATTACAACCAGGCCAATCACATTTATATGGTTTATTATCTTGATGAATCATTTCATGTTTTCGTAGATGTGCATTCTCTACGAATGTACGGCCACAATTAGGATGATCACAGACGAATATTTTCAGACCACAATGGGCTTTACGATGATGTTCAAGATTACCTTTCACGGAAAAATTGGCTTCACAACCGGGCCAATCACAACTGTATGGTCGTTCGCCAGTATGTTTTCGCATATGTACTTTGAGATTACTTTTCTGAGTAAAACGCATATTGCAATCAGGCCAATCACATTCATATGGACGTTCTCCAGTATGCGTTCGAATGTGTCTAATTCCAAATGAAATTTAATCAGAAAACAATCTTGAATGAATGAAAAATTAATTCAACATACAAACGAAGCGATGATAATTGAGTAAAACTATGTCCACAATCATTCCAATCACAACGATATGGCTTCTCTCCAGTATGTATTCGACGATGATCTTTTAGGTGAACCGAATTGATTGCTACATAATCACAATCAGGCCAATCACAAGGATATTTTCTTTTCGAAGATTTTCTTGTTTGTTGTAGTCGTTTTTTTGTCCGTTTATTTTTCGGTGATATGTCATTGATATTTTTCTTGCATTTATTTGGAAATGAAACATCATTATTTGTAGCATCAATGAACAGAAGTTCCGTTTGATCTTTATTATTATGTACATTAGTATAATGATCATGAATCTGTTCGAAAGAATCAAACATCAATTCACATGATTTACATTTATATTTTTTGATTATAATTATTTCGTAAAAATCATCGGTGGCTTTTTCTTTTGGAGTTTTGGATACAATGTCCAAATTTATATCTTGGTCATTAGGTATAGAATTCTCAGTAGATTGTTCGTCGTGAAAATCATCATAGCCAACATCTTCTGACATTTTTAAATGTTAGAGCTGAATTGCTGAAAAAAATTAATAATTTTTCAAGAATGTATTATGATGGTGAAAACAACACCAAAAGCCTAATAATGTGGAAATAGAATGAAAAATTTGATGAATAAAATTTAATAAGAATTTCTAAGACAAATTTTATTTTATACAAATGTTTAATCCATTAAACATTAGAATTTCATTATTATAATATAAGCAATAAAATATTGATTATTGTTGTTGTTGACGATGTTTCTCGACCAGATCTCGTTCGGTTATATATTTGAGTGGATATTTCTGTAAACGAACATCATCAGGTCTGACAACGATATAACGAGATTTATGTCGAGTGAACAATTCATCATCAGGAGTTTTAGTCAAGTAATGATGAACGACGGCTATGGCACTGATTCCACATAATCCAAATGAGAAATAAAGATAGGGAACCTGATACCAACCACGTATTATTTCATTCTTTAGTTGCTGAAATCGGAGCTTTAGAAAAATCATTGTCCCTGTAAAATTTAAAAAATTTTCGAGATTAATCAGATTTTGTAAGACAATATAATACCAGCTCAATATCGATAAATGACAGATTAGAAATCTCCAAATAAAATTTTTCCGTGAATCGAAATCAACATAACCTTTGCCAGAACAAAAGTGTAACAACATTATATCGATAGTTGTTTACAATCGATTATTTACATTTATTCAGAAAAAATCGAACATCCAGATGGCGGTACTGTTCTGATTATTTGGAATAAAGAATGAAATGATCGAAAAAATGGATGATCAAAAGATTCACGACACGGTAAATCACAAATTGGAGTTTGAGCATATTTGATTCAATCATTACTTAAATATACAATTGAGCAGGTAATCCCGGAAATCTTAGGGAAAAAAGTTTGTTTGTTGACAATGTAAAAGTGAATGAAATAAAATCTGTCTTTTGACCGGAATTCTTGTTTGCGTGACCTTTAGCCATTAGATTAAAAAAAACCTGGCAACGTAATTTTTTTCTATCTCCGCAACGAATCTCAAGTTATACGATTAAAAAAAATCATCAAACATTATTATTTTCATTGTATATATAGCCACATTTAGAAGCCATAAAGTTTTCACAAGTAACTATTCAAAGTAGTTTTTTCAAAAACAAATTTTTGTTTATTACCAAAAAAAAACAAAATCAAATAAATAAATGAATTTTAAACTTATTCTTCACTGAATGGCAAAACGAATTGACAAAATAATCAACAACAAAAAAACCTTCGATTCGATTTATAAGAAAATTGGAGCAATTACTTTTTCATTTTATCATCAAAATTGGAAAAATCATTCGAGTTTTTCACATTGTCTGATTTTTATTTCTAATCATTATGGAATCCAATAGCTCTAACGATATAAAAATAAAAAATGAAGTAATTTTTTTTTTTACAATGGACAGTTGTTGTATGTGTGATCATTTGGTTTTTTCCACACACACACACGAAAATACGAAAATAATCGCGCCAAACAAATTCGGAATCATATTTATGCATCATATTACCATGCGCATAAATCCGTGAAATTCATTCAATCTTTTTATCTGGATCGGATGTGCTTGTGCGTGTGTGTGTAAGATGTGTGAATGACGCCGAAACAGTGGCTGAATAGCCGTTACAGAATTCAGTCGAAATTCAAACACCGGTCTGTACAGAACGTTTATGGAATGTGCAATGTGTGTGTTCGTTTGTGATATAAAATATTGTTGCAAAAAAAATGTTGTTGTTTTTATCATAAAATCGATTTGCTATAGTGATAATATTCATTTGTAAATGAAGATAAATGTTTAAATATCTTTTGACAATTGAATATATTCTATTAGCTAAAATGATCATACCTGTATATTCCAGACCAAATAAATGACCATTAATCATTATGTATGGATGAAAACAAAATTCCTGTTATTCCAAAATATTAAACATAATCTAAATGGTGGCCATGTCCCAGAATGTATGTTTAGTTCAACAACCGACGATAGCCGTCACAACTACCAATACCGTATCATCATCGAAATCACCAACACAATCTTTAACCACACCTTTATCATCATCATCATCACCAATCAATTTAGAATTTTCATTATCAAACAATCCAATATCAACGACAACAACAATCATTGATTATTATACAAAAGAACAATGGTCAAAATTTTTATCATCACGGATAATCCTACGTAAACAACTTCAAGTAAGAAAATCGGATATTTTTTTTCATTGATTTAATTTTCGGTTTTCATCACAAATATAACAAAAGACATACACATTCATTTAAATGCAAATTAAAAATTATTGTTTTCAGTTGATAATGATGTATTCGACATTTGATGTTTGATGCTAAACAAAGAAAATAAAAATTAAGAAAAAGTAAAATCAGCATTTTGGAAATTTTTATTTGACACTTTTTGTCCAATGGGTGTGTGTGGGTGGAATTAATTGATTTTTTTCTTTCATTCAATTTTCCATTTCATTTGGGAATTTTTTTTTATTTCTTTCTAAACATTATGATAATGACATCATAAGAAAAATCGTAACTGCAGATGAAAAACCTAATAAGAATTGAAAGCAAAATCATTTGTTTGAATTCGTTTCTTTTTTTTCTCGTTGAGCTCAAATTTTAAACATTTTTGCTTTTTATAACATTTGTGTTGTTGTTGTTGTCCAATTCTCATAAATGTTTGCAAAACTTTTTACTTTTTTTTTATACTTTCTTTACTCACTTATTCACTCAATTGTTGTACGGGAATATGAACATTTGTCACAATTAAAATGTATTGTAAGATATTGCATAACATACATTCATTCTAAATCGATTGGTAATCGATTAAATATATTTTTCTATTCTCGATTAATTCGTGATGATTTTTGTTCGAAGAGCAATTTTTGTTTTCACTATTCTTATTTTTGGGTTTCCAAAAAAAAAATCAAACAAACTTTAATTTTCAATGATTTATCTTCATCAATTGATTCTTTTCTCATTCTTTTTATTCCGGTCAAATGGTCGATGAACAATTATGATCAAAGTAAATTCATTCAATTCAAAAAACAAAATGTCATCAATTTTTTTTTTAAATCTTAAAATTCTTTTCTTGTGTTATTTCTATTTCGAAAAAACATTAGTGTATTAAAAATTTTTTGAAAAAGAGTATCATTTATTTGTTCCGGTAGCTATTGAAAAATCAAAGTTTTTTTTCAAAAAAATCTATTCAATCGGAATCGTTTTTTGTTTGTTTGTTTCAATGATTTTTCACAACAATAATAATAACTAATAATAAAATGCTGAGCTATATGAAAAAAAAGTTGTATCTGTAATGTCAATTCAACGAAAAGTATCCAATTGGAAAAGTATTGAAAAGAAAAAAATGAATAATTAACCATCAATAGGATCATTGTGCCTATTGTAATGTTGAATATTTTATGACTATAACCTTTTCATTTTGAAAAAAATAGTAAATATAGTTACCATCATTAAATTTAATTAAGTCTATCAAAAAGAAAAAAAAAACTAGAAGATACGATACACATCTCTCATTGACAACAACAACAACTTCGATAAAGAAAAAAAAACTTAACCTGTCGTAATTCTGATATCTGACATTGTTGTTTTGTTGTCAATTATTTATCATTTAGAAAAAAAACACATTCAAACACATATGATGTGAAATGGATGAAATCCGGAAATTGTTGAAAAAAATGACATTTTTTTAACATTGTTATTATGTTTTTTTTTTTCAAAAGAAAACGACATTATAAATTTTATATTATCTTATTATTACTATTCGGTAAATATCACATGAGATTCTTTTGATTTGGTTTTCAAGTTTATACAAAAATTTAAAAAAAATTGAGAATTGAAAAATGTATGAATTATTTAAATAATATTTAAAACTAATGGAATTATAAATAGAAATGATGTTTCGATTATTAAATGCTTATTTTCATCTTTTTTTTCATAATGTTCGTTCAATGATACCACTTATCCAAGGAAGATATGACCATGTTTTCATGTATACACCAGGTAAATTTGGTTCAGCACATTTTATACCATGTGATACGGTACCGATTAATGTCCAAACATCATCACGTTTCATCATTAATGGTCCACCACTATCACCTTCACATGTATCACGGCCACCTTGTGTATAACCGGCACAAAGAAAGCTATGTCGAATGTATTTATAATGTCCAGCATCGGCAAACATCGTCTGACATAAGCTATTATCAATGATCGGTAATCTTACTGTTTGTAATACACTTGGTATCGTACCACCATAGCTTAATTTTCCCCATCCGGCGACATAAGCAAATTGACCTACATAATCTTCATCTTTATTTGGCATGCATATTGGTACAATATGCGGTTGCATTTCAAATGGTGTATCCAATTCCAATAAAGCAATATCATTATCAAATGTATCCGGATCAAAATCACGATGTACAATCATTCGTCGTACGGTTTTCACAACCGGTCGAAGTTGTCTTGAAGTACCATGAAGTTCATGTTGACCTAACATAACAATCAATGATCCCATCATACCTGGTTGGCAATGTGCAGCCGTAAGAATCCATTTATAATCGATTAATACACCACCACATTTTGATTTGGTAAAAAATCCTAACCAAGATTTTTCTTTGATCAAAACCTGCCATGGCCATTCACCGAATTGTGCATTACGGCCACCTACTACACGTCCAGTTGGTCTTAACGGTCGAACACCGCATAATTTTGGTGACGAAAAAGATCTGGTAGTTGTACTTGTAAAACTTGCTGTAGGTGTCGGCGATACTACCGAAGAATGTAATGGAATATCTTCGATAAATACATTTTGATTAGGATTGGATGGATAATTATTATCGATTGTTCCTTTTGTTGTTGTGGTTCGATTCAATATGATTTCATAGAATTCATTTTGATTGATTTCAATTGGTAGTAGTGTTGAATGTGTATTTGTTTGGGATGATTTAATGATGGATTCTTCCATCGATTTAGTTGTCGGCAATGAACTTGACCAATTGTTGTTATTATTCGTAATTGAATTGAAAGTCGAATCCAGATCCAATGAAATTGTTGCTGTCATAGCTGTTGTAGTCGAATTAATTGGATTTTGAACGTTTTCATCACCATCACCACCCATATAGTCAGCATAATTTTCGGTTGTCATACAAATGATGGCTGTTTGGTTTTTGATCGAATTGATCTGTTCGGTAGATATAGTAGATGGTAGTAAATTATTTGTCGAAACAGTTTTCTGGTTGAAAAAATTAAATAATTAAATTTCTCAGTATAGAATCACAAATGAAAAAGGCAAAACATACATTTCCTATCGAATGTGGATTGCCTTGAGCATTGCCATGATCTGAATCGACAGTTGAGATATGTTTACTTTGTATTTCTGCTTGGTCAACGTTCGAATTTTGAACATAATCAAAACAAAAAACAAAACAAAATAAATTAAATCAAAAAAAATTAAGAATCCTAAACAAACATTATTATTATTGAAAACAAACTACCGTTAATATTTTGATGTTCAGAATTGATTTTGAAATTGAAAAATTTTTGTCGATGAAAATTTAGTATATCATCTTGTGAATCGGGCAACATACAACAACTAGCAACCACTACGAGATTATTGAAACAATGTCCAATCGATATACCACGATTATGTACACATTCATAATGTGGTATACAACGACCACGAAGATGTTCTAGTCTACGTGAACCACGACACCATTGTCGACGACCTTGACGAACTTTAATGTTGATTATTTATTTTAATTGTTATGATGATAATAATAATAAAAATAACATAAAAATTTTCATGGGTTGCTGATAGAAAAACTTACCACGAATTCTTGATGTTTCGATTTGTATGAGAATCAATGATAATCCGATTATACAATATGAAATTACCTTCATGATTATTATAAAAACCAATTTAAATTTAGTACAGGTGTCGAAATTTTTTCCGTTGATGATGATGACTAGTTTATTCGTTCAAGATCTTGAAGATCAAGTTGTTTTTTGGAATGAAAATCCAGAAATTGGAAAAAAATAATATTCAAGATTAAATGATGATCAGATTTTTAATTGTTGGATTTGCTCATTTTAATCATCATCATCAACATTATGATCATCGTATCGGTGGTCATCATCTCCGATGTTCAGTTTGACAAATTTTAAATTTTATGGATGACAGTCAAAATAATTATTGGTGATGATAAAATAGAGAAGAATGAATGAATGACGTTCCTATTTGATCAAAATAAGGAAATGATTGCAAATGAATGGGTGATGATCACAGTCAATGTTCATCGTTGAATGTCAAATGATGTGATGGACCCCAACCATCATAATATTCAACTATATCATCGTTCAGCTACCGTCGATGAATGTCAAGTTTACAAGCTAACAACCTGTTTGATTTAATGATTGTCCGCATTTGAATATGCATATAACATGACCGCCGTAACTTGATTTTTTTTTGCTAGCAGGTATCTGTTGAAAGCCAGAGAAAAAAATAACTATTTTGCATAGAAAAAGAGAAAGAAACAAAACAAAAAAAGAGTCGAAAGATGTTTGCGAATACAATTGATTGTCGAATGTTGATGATATATTCGTTTCAATTCATTTTAAAATCAATTGAAAATTTTTGTATTCATCGGCTATTGCTCCCATTGACTATTTCATTATACTACAATATTCTGCTTTTCTGTTGTTGTTTTCGCTTCATCGAAACGAATTATTCGAGAATGTTTTTTATTTCGCTTTATTCAACAACAGATGTTAATGGCATCAGAAATTTTCATTGATATTATATTGTTTTCAATCCATTGAGTATCTATTCGAAAGATATTTGTAATAAAATAAGCAACAATGTTTTCATTACATAAAATACATAAATTATTCGATTCTAGATAGTTTACTGATATCAATAAGGCAAGAATAAAGAATCACAGTATTATTTAATAGTCACAAACTATTTTCACACACATTCAAACACACATATAAGTCTGGATTCTAAATATTTGTTATTTTGTTTTTCTTCTTCTTCTTGGATTAGTTATTGACAATATTTATTGTGCATGTCAATGTTTTTTTTTCTGTATTGGATTTTATATATTATGTGTTGAAAAGTTCATTAACATCTTTCATTGATATTGGTGTGTATATATTCAATGGGTAATAATGATTACTACTATTGGACTTTGTTCTTACTAATTGATGAACAATCTAAACAACTGAACAACTTAATCTATTGTTAATGAAAGGAACGAGGAAAAAAACATTTTAAAATTATATGATGATGATGATAATAGTAATTTATTACACAAAAACATTACATTTTTTTGGATTCAATTCTATAAACTATCAAAATGAAGATTTAAAAAATAAAATAGCGGAAGAGTTTCCGTTTTTGCTTTTTTAATCAACCGATCGATTATTGCCAACATGAACATTAAATGTTGTTTTGAAGAATTGTTCTTCCGCCAATGATAATAATATCGGATAGTAGAATCAGAAAAAAGAAAAAATAAATAAATAACAATGTTTGATCACAAGAACGATGAACTTGTAATGAATCTAAAAATAGATGACTATAGTATTCAATATGTGTTATATACATTTATTCTTGACCTTTCAACACTTCACGAACTTTGATGCTGTTGCTGTTTAGTTGCACAAGTTTTCCGTTTCCATAAAATCGTTATGGTGTTGATAATGATTGTAACCATTGTTTTGTTTTTTTTGTTTACTACTGTATTCTTTCTGATCATAATTCATGAATGGAATTTGATTTGTCATTCACAGGCATCGATGTTTTACAACCACCCACACACACACGCACATTTAAACTAGGTCAGAATTTATCGGAAAAAATTACATCATTCAAATATTTATCATAACAACAGAAGCTTTTCATTCATATAGATTAGTTGATATGTAAAATTTTCTTTTCCTTCCTAATGATATTTTTAATATAACAAAAGTTAGAAAGAATATTAAAGAATAACTAACAATAGAATCTTTAATGAAGAGAAACAATCATTACGACTTTAGAATCGAATACTTACACTGTAAAGTCATTCAATGCTTAAAAATTGTCACCGCCATGAAATTTTACGGCATTATTATTATTATTTGTTGTTCTATTTATATAAATGAAGAAGAATTCTTTTTTTTTATCCACCACTATAGCATCATCGACGACGATTGAATAAGATGAATGAAGACATGGTACTTATGTCGTTATTCTGCACAATTTTTTTTTCTTCTTAAAATGATAAAAACAAACTACGAACCTTACCATAGTACAAATAGTAGATATCATCATGATTCTTTCGTCATAAATATTATATGTTCGGTTTTTGTTGTTGTTGTTGTGATGAGGCTTCTTTTATTTATTATTTTACTGGCTACTGGGCGGCGGTTTCCCATATTTCGGGTGAACGATGGTGATGAAGAAGTGGCTTTTGATGATGCAAAATCGAAAAAAAATTCGTCGTAGGAGTCATCATTATTATCATCAGAAAAAAATTTTGTTGTTGTCTTTTTTCAAAGAACAAAATGAAAATGATGATAATAATTATTAAAAGAATCGTCTAATATAGAACGACCAACAACACCAACAGCGAAGTAGAATAATAATATTAACAAAAACATTCTGTCCAATATCTGGATTATTTCGAAATTTTTTTTTCACTTCTCTAAAAGAAGAAAAAGAATATTCATTGTATTTCAGTGAGAATCGCGAACCGCCAATACAAAAAAGATTAAATTCGGATCGATTTTTTTTTTGGTCACTATTGGTCGTGTAGTTTTGTTTATTTCACTAATATTTTTTTGTTTATGTCTTTATCATCGATGATTTTCTTTTTGATGCTCGAACATTTGTGTGTATGTGATGATGATGAGGATGATGATGTTTGCTGCGGCAAACTAAATGATTGACTAATACAAAATTTAAACTTCATTTCATATGATAAACAATTGGATTTGAGATTTATTATTATCCAAACAAAACAAAAGAATACTTCAAGCCGATAAACAATTCATTGAATTTTACATTCATTCAAGTCCAGAAACAAGAAATTTTCATCATTCAACCGAAAAAATATTGTGAACAATTTCAATGAAGAAATGAAAAAAAATTCACAACTTTATCAAAGAAAAGAACCATTCTTGAAATAATGATAGATGTTTTTATTGAAAATAATATGTCTTTATGATGACATTTATCGCTGTCATTGCGGTTGTTATTAATATCATCAGCTATAAGCAAAAAGAAAAGATGAAAAAATTTATTGAATTTTCAACTTGAAAAGAATTTTTTTTAAGATAAATAAAAAATAAATTCTTATCAATCGAAATCGAATGTTTAATGGAATGAGAAGATTTTCCTCAACAAATCGATCATCGGGTAATGTTGAAAAATGGATGAAAATTGTCAAAACGGCCAGATGAATTCTTCGACAAACATCAATGAAATGATACAGAAACAAAAACAAACAATCATCAAGGTGTGATGATTGATTGATTTGGGTTATTTTATTATTCAACATTTTCAACAACAAAAAAATTTATTCATCTAATTTTTGTTTTTTTTTTCAATACTTCCATGAACAGATTTATACAGATTGGGCTAATCATTATCTTAAAAAACGTTACTATGAATTGGATCATCATCAACAACAAAACCAATTATTATCTACCGAACAATCATCAAAAATTCCGGCAGCTGCATCATCATCATCAAAATTATGTAATAATTGGAATAATCGTCCATTGATCACATCATTAATCAATGATTTACATGATGGTGTTTTACTTATACATCTAGTCGAATCAGTTAGTAAGTATAATTGTTTCCATTTATGATTTTCTACTGTTTTTGTTATATTCATTTTCTATCCAGTAGAATAAATAATAAAAATTGATAATTATATGAATAAACGCAACAGAATTTGATTCTATTTTACAATATTGTCAAGAAAACAAAAAAATTATGGCAAGAAAAACCCATTTTTTTTGAAAAAAATATATGACTTGAATGTACCCAAAGAATTCCCTCATCAATGATGTTGAAATTCAAGATTATTATTATTATCATCATCATTATTATGGAAATTTTTTTGAAAAGCAAAAGTAGCTGAAAAATGATATTATACAACAATATTTCATCATTCGAAAAAATCATTTTTTTGCTAAAGATCTTGTGTTGTTAGTAGAAAAAAAATTCAATAATAATAATAATAATAATGATGATGATGATAACTAATGGTGTACGGTCATATAACATTAATGATAGATTCGAAATTACTTTAGTGAAGAAGATGATGATAATGCATTGTCCATCTTGAATCATATTTTCATTGCTTCGATTGTTGTTTAGGTCATTTACCGATTCATCTTTTTTCAAGAAAAGAATATATTAAATTAAATTCGATTGTGTTCAATAATAATAAAAGAATTCAATCGATTGATTGATTGATTGATTGATTGATTGTTCGTATCGAATCATTATATTTGATTATTTTGATGCAATTCATCATCAATGAATGTGAAAAATGTTGAAAAAAACAAACAAACAAACAAAACAATAATTATGATCAATATAGAAAATTATTATTATGAATAAATCAAAATTGAATCAAAAATCGATTCATCTTAAATTGAATCGATTCTACCGTCGATATTTATTGCCGATGCCGGCAAAATTCCAAACATACACAGATTTTTGTATGTTTTTTTCAAAAATTTGATTGATCATTTTCTCGTTTGTTTATTTGAATTGTGTTGTATTCATCTATCTTTGATAATGATTCTTGATTCTATTCTAACACTCATCCTTACATTAAAAAAAATCATTCATAAACATCCTTGGCAAAGAATATATTCACTCATCTTTTTTCTAATACTTAATTCTTGATCACGGTAAACGATTTATTAATTCTTTTTTTCCTCTTCTCATTCCTTTTCTATACATCATCATAATTCTAATAAATTTAGCTGATTCAACATTATTAACAAAAAATGTTCATCATACATCTGGAGAAGCTTATAACAATCATCAAACATCAACATCGTCAATTACGTTGATGCCAAAAAATGTGAATCAAATGGTAAGTCTTGATATTAATGTCGATGTGATAGAAAAAGTCCTATGATCTCCTGGATCTTAGCATGGATTTCTCTTTTTTTTCTTTCTTATTCATGCGCGAACCTTCATTATGTGTTGAGATTTTTGTTTCTGTTTTCTTTCTTTGATGGATTTTGAGGCTTACAAAGCGATTCGTTTTGACTGATGATGAAAAATGAAAAAATCCGACCATAATAATCATCATCATTCACATCATCATCATCAAATTTGAATATATCCCGGTGACTCATTTTGATGATGATTATTATTAATAAAATTCTAATTTTGTTAAAATTTTTCTGGATTTTCTTAATAAATTCAACGGACAGCTATTTGGAACAATATTGTATTGATGTTATGTAATTCTATTTTTTTCACTTTTATATTATCAAATAGGAGGAAAAAAACAAAATTCCATCAATACTATTAGATGACTCACACATACATTGATTCACACTTTTAAATGGGTCCGAATAAATTCGATCATTGTCATTATTGTTGTGTGTGTTCATGTGAATAGAATTGGATTTTTGAATTGGTTTAGCGCGCGCCTATAGCACGCACACAAATACACATGCTGGTTTCATTCTGATGGAACACCAAGCAATGAAAGAAAAAAAAAGGAAAATATAAAAAACGTTCAACAACATTGATGCTTAGTCATACCTACTCGATTTTTTTTTTGAAAACAGTATCCGTGTGTATACGTTTATAATCGTTATATGTAATTATTATTTTGAATGAATTGAATTCATTGCTTTTGTTCATCATTTTCTGGTTCTACTATTTCATTTATTCGGTTACAAAGCAGAATAGGAAACGATGTTAATGACTTTTTAGCTTGTCAGAATTTTATTTTTTACTTTTTCCAAATCAATAATAATGATGATGATAATATGGTTAATTAATGCGAGAAGAAAAAAAAAACATTCCTTTAGGCTTGTTTTTCACAGAAATTACATAATTTTATTTCGAATCTTGAACAAGAATCAGGACAATTTTTTGTTTTGGGTCTTCTAAAATCCAAAATAATTAAAAAAAAAATAAGTAATTTTTCTAATGATGGGAATGATTTTTCGACACTAGATTTCTTTCTTAGATTAGCATGTTTGATATATTGTTTTTCAATCAAATTCAATCATGTGAATACATTTTTTTTCATCAATTTTGTCGGTTCAAAAAATATGACAAATTATTTGTTTTATTCTCATTATTACTGTTGTTTTTTTGGTTGTAGTCGAACGAAGATCGTTTCATTTTGTTTCAATTATTATTATTAGACAAATAAATGAAAGAATGAAATAAATCGAATGACATCACTGTTATCATTATTATAACAAGCATTGTCATTTTGGATGAAATTTATTGAAATCTAAGTAACCAATATGAGAAAGATGATGATGATGATTATAAGCCAAATGTCGCCAGAATTTTTTTTTCTTTTTTGATATATATTTAGTTTACCAAGTTTTTTTTTAATATTCCCAATGAATTGTTAAGGTAATAATAAAGACTAACGAATGGAAAATGATGATGATGATTCAATTTTATTCTTTACACACACACACACACACACATGGTACATCGATTATTATGTAGGCGCCGGATTCTGGGCGTTATTGTATGTGTGTGTATCTGCTGTTGTGTTTGTGTATTGCTTGGAATAGCATCCCTGGATAGTTGTTTGTTCGAATTCTATTTCATGTCTTTACTTTTCAATCTTTTTTCTCACTCTCTTTGTAAATGAATATGAAAGTTTAGAATCAGATTCTCTATCACTATGTACAAGTGGTACATGTGTGTGTGTTTGTGAATGATTCATTCATAGGATGATGACTCACATTAAAAATATACACATCACATGGAGGTAATGTGAATGTTCACCAAGGCAAACATCAATTTCCATTGGTATGGTTTGGTCCTAAATTTTTTTTTCTCTTCCTCTCTCTTTGCCATTCCCGATATTTATAAACATTAAAGGAAAAAATAGCCAGGCATACTGAACTACAGTTTTAATATTCGATTCTTGCAGAATTTTTTCTGTGTCTGTGTATATTATCCACATTAAGAGTTTTAAGAATGACAGAGAATAATTTTTTCTTTGCTTTACTTTTTCACATCTGTATCATTTAAAGCATTTCTTACATGTGATTTTTTTCTACGAAATTTTCGTTTAAATTAAGAAAAACATCTTGACAGCTTCTTGGCTTTTTTTATCTTCGTTCACCATTATTTTTAGCTATATGTAGGCCAATAGTTGATTACCGGCAAAAATTTGTTGTTACTGTTGTAGTTGGTTATTGAACCGACAAAGTGATCGATGAGATAATTCAACGATGACAACATTAATTTTTCATTTCATTTTGAACAACAAATTATTACCGCTTTATATATGATGTAGGTATTCGCTTTGAATTTATTGTGGAATGTTTTTTTTTTGAATCTAATCAACCGATGGTTAGGCCCTTCAGGGCAAACAAGGGTTGATTGTAATCAGCAATTTTTCTATGTATATCGACGATTTTCAATTTTCAAAAGAAAATTACATAACCACCTGAGTTTTTCTTTTTCTATTACAATTCAATTGCATATGATAATTATGAGAATAGTGAAAATGATTTAGTTCCGGAACATTACCGGATGAAAACGAAATCTTGAAATTTTCATTTTATAATTTTATTTCTTTCCGAAAAAAATTTCAATTTTTTTCCTATTGAAATCGGACAGTTGGTTGAATTTGATTTTTTTCTTTTTTTTCATTCATTCTTCCATTGTAACATTGTCATTGTTATTATATAATATCCGTTTTATAGTTAACATATTTGTGGCTCCCGGAATCGTTGTTGTATATTTGAAATAGAAAAAAAAACCAAAATAGTAAAAATAAGATAACCGGCCTTTATGTGTTTTGAATGTATTATAATAATGATGAGTGAGTGGTTGTGAAAACTACTCGACCGAATAATTGTTGTATGACGATTCGGTTGTATTCTTTTCATACTATTATCATTATCATCGTCAACATCAATTCCAGTTGAATTCTCGATTATGTTCTATATCTTTGGATTGTAATAGATTTTTTGTTTTTGTTTTTCATCTTTATTGTATCATCATCATTATCATTGTTGTTGTTGTTATTATTGTATATCATTTTCATGAATTTGAGTGAATTCAAGTGATACATAATACAACAAAAAAAATTGTGCATAACGTAATATCAAGATTCTTTTTCTATTTCACATTATATTCATTCATTTGAAATGAATTTAAGTTTACTTATTTGTAATGAAATTGTTCCTAAAAATCTGTTATTTTGTTTATTGTTAACTATCACTATATGGTTATCCACATCATCATCATGATGATAATGATCATCATGGTAACATAAAGGCAATTAAAAACTATAGACCACAATGTCTAGCTGGATGTAATAATTATACAAGATGCAATCGTTGACAAAAAAAATATGTCTTTATTTCCTCTTCAATTCATATTCATTTCATTCTTTTGACGAAACATTTTATTTTATTTTTATTTTTTGTTTCACCTTATATACTCGAAAAGTTTTCATTTTCTCCCTCCAACCATTGGAGAAAAAAAAACATAATCCAATTTATATTTATTGGAATCATTTTTTTCCTCTTCATCACATTGTTTGCTCAAGTTTTTTTTCTGGTATTTGTATTTATCATCTCATGATGCTATTAAAAACAAAAACAAAAAAGAAGTTTATTTTTCCTCAATTTTGTTGTTTTCAGTTGAATAGAAATGAATAAGGAAAATATTGAATTATTATTTTGTTCAGGTAAATTAGAAAAACAAAAAAAAAAGAAATCATTTAGTCGATTTTTAATAAAATATTTATCAATTTAAAAACAAAAATTTGAGAATCATAATACGATTCTTGATCACTTATCTCAACCACAATATCTTATTGGATTTTAATGATTACTTTTATATTGTGAATAAAATGTGCTTGATGGAATTAGACGGATACGATAATGATCTCATATTGATAGAAATAAGTCATCATTATAATATGTTCAATATCTTAAGGGAACCATATATTTTGTAGTTCATTAAATTTATTAATAAAAATTGAAATTGAAAAAGACATCAACCAGACATGAAATTCAAAATGACAATGAACCAAAATGAAAAATAAAAGACCAATAGAATGACCACCCAATATGAATTGAATTCCATATTAATTCAATGATATACACTTGTTTGATTTGGTTGGGCCAATTTTTTTTCATTTCCCTTTTTTTATCGTATCAGGTAAATGCGGATGCTTAAAAAAACACGCAAAAAATGAATGAATTATGTGTGGAAAGTTTTACCATTCAAAAAAAAAAACAGAATGTAATAACACATTTTGTTTTGTTTATTATACAACCAACAAAAAAAAATTGTTGTCGTTGTTGATGATGATTATGACAAAATACCATAATAATCATTATGGCCAATCATCAACATACATTTCAATCCATATCGTAAATCATAACATTAAATTCATGCATATGCATAATGTGTGTGTGTGTGTGTGTGTGTATAATGGAGAATTTCGATGAACAACAAACAAACAAACATCATTATCATCAAGAACCGAAATGGCATTCAAACATTACAAAAAAAATAAACAAACAAATGTAATGTTCGTTTGGTCATCATTATTATTTTTGTTGTCTTTGGATAAACTTTGTTCCTTCGAATATTGAGTCTGCATGAGAAAATGTTAGTGTGGTTTTTTTTCTTCTAGAATACATATCAATCTGAAAGTTTGAATAAATCTTTGCACTTACTGGGTGTGTGTGAAACTAAATTTGATGTTAATTTTATTTGAATTTCATCTATTACAATGTTTTTTTTCTATTTTTTTAAATAAAAATTCATGGAAATAACAATCTTTTCTATTACATTTGATAATCGATTAATAAGCTGTAACTTACAAATTTTTATCTTTCTTGATTTCATCTGTGGAGAAAGGGTAAAATTTATCGAGCATAGAAAAAGATTCATTTTAAAACAAATCGTAAACGAATAAAACATTCCAAAGTCCAAAACGATCAATGATTATCAATCATTTTACTTTATTCATTAATATATAAATGATAAAATCATACGTTTTTAATGATTTTGTAATCATTCATTTTGGCATGTAGATCTTCAGAAAAGATATTTTCTATTTTTTTAACCAAGTTTTTTTTTCGTTTGTCAGATGTAGAAACTCTTTTTTTTTTGAGAACATTCCAAATCAAAAAAGAATTATGAAATGTTTTCACATAATTTAGTTTACACACTTTTTTTTTCTATCTCCACCTTTTTTTCGACTCTCGTTTGATCTTTATTCATTATGTGAATAGAATAAGATTTTCAGCCATAACACTACCGATATGATTATAACATTGCAATGATTATGATGATGATAATGATCGTCAATCAGCATCATACATTGACAAACTAAACCGACCAAAACATTGGTCGCCGCATCCATACATTTGTTTATGTGTTGATATATATGTGTGTGTGTGTTTGTCGCGAACGTCTGTAAATATGAGTATTCATCAAACATCCAATATCGGTGAAAGAACGTTTATGATGATAATTTGCAAAGAAACTAAATACTACCTTCATTTTCAAGATATTTTTTCATTTCTTCATTGATTATAATCAGATATGTTTATATAATTGTATAAAATAATTCCTTGAAATAAACATTGCTAATGACTTTTATATATTTGATTATTGCCGCTCAAACAGATTGATTGATCTAATACTGATCTGATCAATTTATTTCAATCATTCAATCATCCAATCAATCATTCAAACCAAAAAAAAAAAGATAGTTTAAAGTTTCCATTCATCTTACCATTATTCAATGATAGTTTTGTGTTTGTATGTTATCAGCATTTTAATCGTCATTTTTTGTTTTGTTTTTGTCTTCTATCAATATATCGATTTGACATTTTTAAATACTTTGATTTCTTTCTATAGTTCTTATTTGTGAATGTATCTACAATAACAACAAGAGAATCTATGTTACATTATATTTTTGGCCTCGTTTTTTCTATCTGTTTTGTTTAACTCTAAATTTTCTTGATATTTTCGCGATTCTATAATTCTCTGTCAGTCATGTATGTTTGTGTGTAGCTGTCAAACAAATGTCTTGAGAATTTTTTTTTCATTCTTTTACTACTATTACGGTGATTTTTTTTTGTTGAAAGATTTTGAAATTTTTATTTTTTGCCTGTTCGTTTACATTCAATACTTGTATGTTTTTGGTATTAATTTCATTCTTATGTTTTTTATTTTATTCTTCACAAGTCTCTGTTTTTCTCACGTTTTTTTCTCTTTTGATTCTTTTATTTTTTTCTTTCGGTTAATAATAGATTGCCAACATTGACAGCTGCATCCGATTTCTGGAACGTTTAGGCGTCAACACTAAAGGAATCTATGCAAAAGGTTTGGACATTTTATTCTAAATTTTATTTTGAATCCAACATACAGTAGTCATACAATGAGAAAATAATAAATTTTGCAAAGCAATAGATTTATTGGACATTTTATTTTTGCATTTGTATACCTTTTTTTCACAGATTGTATCATTTTTTAAATAGATCGTTTGATCTGTATTTCTGCTTAGGTTTGCTTAACTGGTTTTGATTCTTAAAGTTTTTTCTTGCACCTCTTTTTTTCATTTATTTTTTCTTGTGAAAAATGACCAAAATGTATTAAGAATGTTTCTTTATTTTTCTTGTTATCGCCTTTATTTCGGTTGCTCTACTTTTCAATTTCAACTTTTTTTAAAATCCTTACTAAACGTTTTTCTTTGCATTTTTTGCTATTATGGCGATATATTAGATATTCACGAAGGAAATCTCAAATCAATATTGACCCTATTTTTCAACATTTCAAGATATAAACAAAGTTTGAAAAAACATCAACAACAACAATATTCATCAGGAACTGGAACATCACCTGGAATAAAAAGCCCAAATCAAAGTTTATATCAAAATGGTGATCCAATGACATTATCATCATGTACAAGTGGTGAAGAAGATGATAATACGGGCGGATTTATGACAGATTTTTCCATTTCATCATCAACACAATCTTTAATTCTATCATCGAATGGTAAAAATTTTGGAACATCTACATCCAACATGGTACCACCACCGACATCTGGCGTCATGATTTCGAGGTATAATTTTCATAATTTTTATCTTGAATTTGCCATAAAATTAGTCGAAAAAGAGAAGCGACCATTCGGTAATAGAATATCCTATATTCATTAAATCATCACGGGTATGACCGATACCCGGCTATTGTATTATTTTGGTTGTAGTGGCAAAGTTCGTTGTCCTGTTTGTGTGTGTGTGTATGTGTATGATGCGGATTCTGTTCCTGGAACACACTCACATGGAAGAATCAATAGCCTCGTCTACGATTATTTTCTAATCGATTTTTCAATTCTTCTTTTTTTCCACATAATCTAAATAGATTGCCTAACCAGAATCATATCAACAATAATTTCTCTGGTTCAGGAAATCATAATAACAACAACAAGATCAATAATAATACAACCACAAGTAAACTTATTCAACCAACAATCAACAATAATCATAATCATTCGAACAATAATGGAACAAACAACAATAACAGTAATCGCAGTATACCAACAACCATACCCGGTATCCAGCAACAACAAAATTTTCTAAATAATAATAATAATCGAAAATCATCATCATCAAATGCCAAAGGTTTGTTGTTTGCCTATTTTTAACTCTTTGTTTTGTTTGATCACTTAATTTCATAATATGTGGTTTTTGTTTGTATCCAAACATCGTTAATCATGATTGATAGGATTTCAATTCAATTTCATTTTTCTAAAATGAAATTAAATCAAATTCTCTCTTTGTATTTATTATATGAATGTATAATTAATCATATCATCGCCGATGGGCGTTCATGCATGACACATCATCACGATCATGTCATATCATCATGGTAATTTTATTTAGATTGTATCTGTATAGTGGTTAATGGCCCGAATCTGAGTGTCCGTGTGAATTTCCTATTTTCCTTTTTTTATAAAATAAATAATTAAAGATTTGAGAAAATTCTTGAAAAATTTCGGCAAAAAACCATATGGTCAACGAAAGTAAAAATTGAATATAAAATGAAAAATTTGTTTCTACAAATTTTATTAAATTTAGCCTAATTAATCATTGAAGTTAATTTCGATTTCATTTTGCATTTGTCCTTATACATTCTAATAATAATAATAATGTTAATACAGTGAGAGATGAATGTCTTTTCTTTTCATTTTTTGTTTGCTTGTTCGTATTAATAAGAAAATCTTAAGCCCTAATTTTGGAAATTCATACATTCAATATAAATAGCCATATTTATTATTAGTTTCAAGCGAAAAAAAAATTAATTGTCTCGAAATTATCATCGAAATTTGGATAATATATCATTCATTAAGGACATTTCAAGGTTTTTCCTTTGTTTTTATGTTTATTATTATTATCAATCTTTTCATTATTCGATTCATTATTCGATTCATTTATTTTAAGCAAATAAAAATATATTAACTATCATTTGTAATGGTCGATCCATATCGTAAATTCCTACAATTCCGACGATCTATTACATTGATGGGCTTTTCCAATTGTTTTTCTCTTTCTTTCTGCAATTGCATCCTCTATTTTTTTGGGGGGAATTTCTATCAAAATACCAGACAACAGCTAGGTTTTATGTATGGGGTTTTTCTGCATAAAACATCGCAACATAAAAAAAACAATTTATTCTATAAATTGGTCGCGCATGACAATCTATTAATACCGAATCCATACTACCGAAACCAAAATATCTATTTGTTTCTTCGTTCTCTTGCGCGGCTAGACATTGCATGGTGTGTGCCCTTATGGATGGGTATATATTATTTTATCTGTGATCATCGACTGGAACATGGCCTGAATCCATCATATATTCATCACAAATAGATGATATACATTTAGACATTTAGGCGTGTCATCATGCTTGTATTAACCTCATCATCATCATCATGTGGTTTTGATGTTAAAGGCACTTTCCTTTTTACTATTATTGATTGTCAGACGCAATTTATGCGATCGTTTTTAGTTGGAAAAAATTTATTGATAAAATGTTAAATGTCAAATCTTCTTCTCTATCTTTCAAGTGAATAATCATTTTTAATGATCTGAATTATTGATTCATTAAAATCGTTCGAATTTCCATATCGACAAATATCATTCCCATTGATAAAGCTCTTTTCCATTCGTTTGTTTATTTTAAAAATAAATTAAATTTTTAAAAAAATCAATTGCTGTTGTTGCGTAAACATTCAATTTATTTATCGACAAAAATTGACCTATTCATCTATCTTATCCTTGCCATTGTGTAATGATGATAAAAATGATAATTTCAACAATGAAAATTTACTAATACAATTTTTTTTGATGAAATGATAATATCATGGAGAATCACGTGTCAAAAATAGTGAATGAATAAAATGTCCTGTTGTTCATTAAATTTAAAATTTTTTTGAAATTATATTGAAACACTGCATAATGCCTGTCATCTCTTGTTTGTTTGACTGTTTCAGCAAAATAAAATCCGTTTTCATTCGCAATCATTTTTTTACTTGTTTTGATTGTCTAAATATGTACAAATTTAAGGCGTTGCATCAATGGGGCATCACCATTTTTTTTCTTGTTAAATGTTAAGATTCTTTCAATGACTATCCATTGAAAATCGACATCCATTGAAATATATTAAGTTTTGGCCCAATATTCGTAATGGGCACCGTTTTATTTTGTTTTTGATTTTTTTTTTCAATAAAAAATTTAACATCATTGTTATTTTGTACAAATAAGAGCAAATCAAACCAAAAAAATAAAAAGCTTTTCATTTCTCTTTCTCTATTACGTTATTTTGGCAAAATTAAATGTTCCATATTTTCAATCCATTTCAGTGAGTTTGTGTGTGTTTGCGCGGGTAGATATTTAAAAGATCATTAAAAGCTTCATGATGGTTTTGTTATTTTTGCGATGAACATTTAAAAAAACATCAAAAAAATAGCAAAATTCATTAACACACGATCGTTATAAGTTTTTGTTTTGATAAAATAGAGAAAAAAGTTTGTGGTCCTTAATTTGAGAGAGAATGAAATGTCGGTTTCAAAATATCTTCATTAACGTGATATTGTTGGCACCGGAATACCATTTTTGTGATCAAACACACACACAATGACAACAACAAAATAATGTTTGTGTTTGTATAAGAGGTGTCAATAAATTGTTTTTCTCTTGAATTTCTAAATCAATTTATTATTGATTGATTGAAAAAAATAGGTGTCAACATATGTTTATTTTGTTTTAAATCAACAATTGGTTTTTACCTTGAAGTGTGAATGTCGAATAAGAAAAAAAAATTGTATCCAATTATATGAATGAATAAATTATGTGATTCGATTATGTTTTTCACTGTTTTATCAATGTTCCATCATGACCCAAAGAAATGTTTTTTTTGTTCAAGTTTCCGCATATTATATGAACACCTACGCGTTTATTTCGTTTTTTTTCTTTCACCATCTTCATGGATCATTTTAATATATTGTTGTACTGTAAAAAGAGTATTTAATCAAAAATAAATAGAAAAATGTCTTCGTCGTGGACATCATCGATGTCAGATTTTGATTACAATTTATTATCATCATCACTGATTTCGTTGTCCACAACCACCGATAACAACAACAACAATAGCACTAACCATTTTTATTTACAACAATTACAATTACGAACACGATTTGATCATTTAGCTCGTCGTCGAAATTCATCACAGTATTTTCTTTTCAATGATCATCATTATGTTGGTTTGTCATTGTCATTTTTATGTTTATTATTATTTTTTTCAATTTTACCTATTGATTTTTTTTTCATTGAATTATTATTAATTTTCTTTGCTTGATGTATCCAAATGATGTAATAATTGTTCCGCTTTTTTTCCCTTTCTTACCAATAAATATTTCCGGATCATCTATTTTGTTTTTTTAGTAACAAGTTCCTCAAATCTTCAACAACAATCTATTACAAATAATAATAATTCAACATCGAATATTACAACAATATCGACTGCTTTGCCACAAATCAATCGAATACAACAACAGCATCAACAAAATCGTACGACAACACCACCATCCGATCGATTTGTTTCATCATCTAACACCGGTAATGTTCATTCTCGTCCATCACGTCCGCAATCAACTTCATCTATACCACAGATTGGTAATCTATCATCAGTAATTAAACCAGCTATTGCACCGACAAAAAAATCTACTTCGGTAACAAATTCAAAGATCACAACAAAAACAAATGCAAAATCGTCAAGTGATAATGAAACTGTAAAAAATATCAAAATAAAATCTTCAAATGGTCTTAATAATTCGGTATCACGTTTGAATCCATCACAAAGTGAACTCAATCTACGAAAATCTACAACAGCTACAACTGTCCCTGGAAAAGGTAGCCGACAGCCTCAATTGCGTCGACTACCAACACCATCAAACACAAGTGGAAATACAAATCAACAAAGACGACCAATTTCGACCATAATTGAATCATCGATACCTTCAATGATATCTATGATGACAACAAGTTGTCCAAATAGTATAACAACACTTACCAACGGTATCACTACAACAATGATGAATCCACAGCAACAACAATCAACAACAAAACCTACGGCTACTGTCAAAGGTAAACAAAAAAATGACAATTATTGTTTTTAACGTCTAATGTCTTTTCTTAATTATTTTATTCAAAACTAGCCATGGTAACGCCAATCATGTCGACAATCGATTCACAAAATCCTAAAAATGAAAAACAAACAAAATGTTCACAAAAAAGAATAATAGAGTCTCGATCGAATAATTCATCTCAATCGATAGATCATAAGAATGATGTCAATGGATCATCGTTGTCGTTGAAAAAAGTTTCTGATGAACTTGATCTGCATTCATCATTAAAAAAGAAATCCAATATCGCCAAACGTCAAAATTCATTAGGATCAACAAACAGTGTTGGCGGTAGTGGTAGCGCAAGTGATGGAGATGGAAATATTAGTGAAGATCTGGAAACTCCACCTATTATTCCACCAGTAATGGAACGGCCATTACAAACAATTTCCTATCTGAAATCTAATTCAAATGTTTCAACTTCAAATTCAACTACAAATATTCAAAATGGTAATTTCCATATGATGATCAATGACAGTTGAAAAAAATGATTGATCTCCATATGAATTCAATTTCTAATCATTTTTCCATTGATTTGCTTATCATTTGCCTATTTTTTTTGTTTCATTCATTTTGTTTGCTAGTTTTTGTTGTTGCTGTTTATCTTATTTTGATTTTTTTTCTCTGTTTTATATCAATCAATAGTTGCTGTACAACCACATGTTAATTCGAGAACGACCACCCCGACGATTATGTATCGTAAACCGGAAAATCAACAAACTCATTATCAACGTACAGGACGATCACATTATGAACCTTTATATTCAAATGGTACGATGAATGTACCATCAAATATACATCGATTAAGTCAAGGTGCCGATTACTATGGTTCGGATAATGATGATAGGTAAGTTATAATTATTGTTATATTTGATTTTTTTCTCTATAGATTTTCGATACACCATTCGTTATTCGATTCACATACATTTCCCGAATTTAGTAATGATACGGTTGATTTTCATAGCGAACCAGAATCACCAATGAAAAATCATCTCAGTGATTCAACAACATTGTTAAATTTGCACGTTATTCGCCATCCATCAGCATCATCATCCACGATAAAATCATCGAAAAATCAACAATCAAATTCTCTTACGGACAATACTAATGATGGATCACGAAACATAATCCGTTTGAAACACTCATTTTCAAATCCTAATCATTCTAAGAACAACAATAACATTATGAATAGTACCACAAACAATCGAGGGTAAATCATAAATTTTCATATCGTATTCAGCCAAAAATAACGCTGATTATTTACTCTTTGACCATCTGTTCGGTTCAAATTGTCATCATCATCCTAATTAAAAATTGCATTAACATATTGCTTTTAGTAATGATATGAAGGTTCTTTTGTCTTTGGGGTTATAATAATCGTTACATTTCATGTTATTTATAAAGACTAGAATTTTTTTCCCATCTAACATAAACACTGCTTTGTTGATTTGCATCAATAACCCAACATATGTTAGCCATATTGTACTAATCAATTATTTCTATCGTTTTTTCATCATATAGTTTTGAGGAGACCAGCTCGTTAAGTTCGGATACCGGTGGTGGGATTTGTGGTGCCGGCAGTTGCAACGGCAGTAATGGCAGTCGTTGTTCAGATGTTAGTACAACAACAACGACAACATCCTCTTGTTCATCATCATCATTAGATCCTCGTGTCAATCATCTACCAAGATCATCTATAAAAATTAATCAAAATCAACAAAAACAATCTAATTCTAGTTTAAACAAATCATTATCAAATTCAACTACCGAGCTTTACAAAACAATTTCTCCACAACAACCAATAGCAATGACTAATAACAGATTGATGGGTAATTCCGGAACATTACCATTGAATAGTAATGATAGTTCCATGAATGGTGGTCATTATGCGAAGAATAATAATAGCCAAAATAATCGCTCAAATATCGCCAATCAAAATCAACGATTTTTGAAAAATACTAAATTACGTTCACAAACATTGGCTAATGATGGATCATCTGTGATTTATTCGGATTCTGAATGTCAACAACCTCATAATAATCAATCACAGTCGCGTTCGACATTTTCTTTATATAAACTTATCGGTACACAATCATCTGCCGTCAATGGTAATAAATCGCAACAAGTAGGCAATCAATCGATAAATATGGCCGCAAGCACTACCAATAACTTTTGTTCATCATCAAAAGATGGCAGCAATTATAGTGAATTAATTTATTCAAATATTCATAGCGGGAATAATTGTAGCCGTCCAACAACAGATACTGATTCGATTGATTCCTTAAATACGATCGGTTCGACATCATCACATGCATCACAATCAATTTACGGTGTACACCCATCATTAGGACTTTCTTCACATCATACACAAAATCATAATAATCATCACCATCATCATTCATTATCTAAGCCAGGTGATCTAATTTGTGAATATGAATCGGTGAATCGATTACGTGAAACAATGTCAGCGTCGCCAACATCTAGCAAATTGTTAACAAATTCAAACATTGTTTATTCAGATACGAATTCTAACGGTACTAATAGCACAGCTCATATTGGCCGTAGTGGATCATTTCGTCTTACAGGAACATCTAACCATCATTTGCCACCGATACCTGCTCATTTAAATAAAATTAAACCACAACAACATCTACAACACGATCAAAAACATGCACCACCAACGTCGGAACATTCAGCATCATCGTTATCATTATTATCATCAAATTCATCAACAATTTTTACAACGGTAAACAGTTGTTTTCTCATTAAATCATTTGCAATAACGAAAAAACTGCTTTTTTCAATTTATCCACTTATCGTTTTAATGATAACCAGATTGTTGTAGATCTTAATAATCACCATAATGACTGCAATGATCATTTCTCGATATTATTGATGAATTCATTTTTCAATGATGATGATTATTGAGAAGTGATAATAATAATTTCGTAATTCATTGATGACATGAAGTCGTTGTTGTTGCTGTCAAAAATATAATCAGCTTTGTTAATTAATAGAGACTATACTATAGTGAAAAACATATTAGCTAAACATTTTATTTGATGGCCATTGATGAAGGCATTCATGTGTTTAGAAAATAATAATCACTACGGTGATGATGATTATGATGATGGTCGACCTCATTCTTTATAATCATCAATCTGACCATCATCATTAATAGAGACACATTTTTCAAACGATGTGAACTTGAAAATTAGGTTTTTTTTTATCATTTAATGAAATAAATCGAAAGAGACTATGGAAAAAAGGGTTACATTGGCATGAGACTTCTGTTCCCGAATTTTTCTTTTTATCATTATATTTCTTTGCCATTATTAGCATTATTTTGACTATCATTTTAAATCAACAAAAAAAAATGTCATAATTTTAATAGATTTTTCATTAATTTTGTTGTTATTATTTTTTTCATTTGTCATTCTCTCACACGCATATAATAAAGCCCGAAGAGAAATACATACACGAAATACGACGTTTACGGCGAGAATTGGATCAGGCTAATGAAAAAATCTACACACTAACATCACAATTGACAGCGAACGTAAGTGTTGTCACCTTTTGTTATCAATTTTATTTTTCTGTTGTTTGTTACCTCGATTCGAAAATTGAATTTTTTCTGACCATTTTTTCTTATGATGATGTAATATTTTTTTTCGGCCAACTTTTTTGAAATTTGTGGATGATGTTTTTTAGTTTTATTTTTTTTTTTTTGAAAACATTTTCAAACTTACCTGACATACATGATCAATTTTTGTTGTTGTTGTATATCATTTATTTATGATTATAATAATTTATTATCAATATTTTTTCTACAAATTGATAACAGGTGTGTGTGTGTGTGTGTGTAGCATCTTTAAAATAAAATAGGAAAACTAAGATTACATTTATCTAAAATGTATGTTGAATGAATCAATGTAACACCCATTTATATGTAAAATATTTCGATCTGATGATGTAACAATGTTCAACATATATGATTAACATTTTCCAATAGATATATGATCCATTATAATCAAATTTGATTTTGATATGAGATGATGATGATCGGCTAATTGAGTATGGTAAAGATTTCTGTTCTTTCCAAGTAAACAAAAAAAAACAAAACAAAATTCAGGTACAATCTTTCTCGGTTAATCATGGATTAGTGAATCAATCGTTTGATTGAATCATTCATCTAGTCGAAGAGAAGATATGATAAGCAAAAAAACCAGTTTTGTATACTGTAATTCCGGTTAAATTTACTATATCACATGAAAAGATTTATCATTTAGATGAAAAATTCGTGGGGTATTTTTTTTTCTTTTTTTTTGGTTAATGTTATTTTTCAATTAAAATTCCAATCATTTCGTTCTTTTGTTAATATCGGTTTCGTTTTTTTGTGAAATGTTTTTCAAAAAAATTATAACAAAATTTTGATTCTATCCATTGAATGAATCCAACCTTTTCTTTTCGATTTTTTTCCTGGTCAAATCGATTCATTTCAAATTATTGATTTTGTAATTGATTTTCTATTTATGGATACCTTTTCTGTCATTTTGGATTTGATCTGAATCGATTACGATTGATTCGAAATGAAGAAGTTGAATGTTTCATATTTTTTGTTTTTGTTTGTTCCTCATTTTGTAATCGTTATTTGATGTTTTCGTGTGTTAATTCAAATTTGAATGTTTCATCTATCAGTTGATTTGTGAGTTTTTTTTGATGAATTCCGATTCATCATGAGTGTCAGTTTGATATACTCGGAAGGTTTTTCACAAAGTAGATTCCCGAATGAATGATGAACTTCTTTTATTAATATTTCTTAAGATGTTGTCGAGTTTTTTTCATTGACAGAACTCTTTTCATTTCTTCATTTGCTTTTATTTTTCCTGTTACCTATTCAAATGGCAAATTTAATTAAAATTCTACTTTTTTTCATTGAAAAAATCCGGTTCAAATTTCTATGGATGCTAAAAGAATAAACAATTGAAACGAAAATAATTTTGATCTTGTCAAAACTATGATTAAGTTAAGATGAGATTTTTGTTTTCTTGACAAATCATCAAATGTATTAGATAATTTCTAGATTTGGTTGATCTTTTGAAAAAAAATTTACACCTCTTTTTCTTCTATTTTTTTGGAGTTTAACATTGATTTGTTGCTATGTTGATGGCCGTAGGTAGTAAATTATAATAACCGTCCATATATCGATCATCATCATCATTATCATCAGGGATGTAATTTTGATTATTATGAAGATGATTTGTGTTTGAATAGAATGTTTTACATTTTGCACACCTTGATTTTTTTGTTTTTGTTTGGGTTCATCCATCTACCATCCATTTATCAGTTGACCTCGTTGATTCATTGAATCCATTTGCTTATTTTCGTTCAATGTCATTTAGATGTTATTAAAGTTTAGTCAAAAATTTGATAATGATAGATGTGTGAATGTTGATGTTATAACAAATGTATTTATGTTTATAATATGATTCATAATTTATCATCCGTTTTTTATGTTTAAATTTCCGTTAATTTATTTAAGTTTACTTAGGTTTTTCTAGTTAAATCATATCTTCGAAAACAAAAACAACAATAACAAATACCTAAATCACATTCAAATATTGAGAGAAGAAAACAAAAATTAACGAGAAAGAGATTAAAATTATGATAGTCGAATTAGTGAATTCAGTGATTCGATGACAATTTGAAAAATGTTATTTTTTCCCACTTCTTTTCTTTTTTTCACTCAGTTTATAAATAATGTATCCATCTAATTCATTAATGTTATTGTTATTTTTCGTTTCTTGTTAATTAGCCATTTGTCGATGATGATGATGATTATGATGATTATGATGATAATACTCAAATCCATTTGTTTTCGGGATGATGATGATGATAATAATGATCATTAGTGATGATTGTAATGTTGGTCGATATAGATAGAAATTCAGGAAATGTGTAGACAATTTGTTTTGTCCTATTTTTTTTATATTTTGTTTTTCACAAATTATCTTTGTGTTTGATCGTAAATCATCATTATATTTATAATTGTATTACCTGTTGATCGAATTTAGTTCAATTTGTTTTATGCATGTCTTTGATTATTATTATTATCATTATTTTTTAATTATTCTCTTTGACTTTAATTTCAATCAAATTAATTTCAGTTTTTCAAATCCTCATACCGTTTCATTTGTTCATCTCTTTTGATGATAGAGAACTTTCATTTATAATTATTATTGACCGATAAAAATTTTCATTTGATTCGTTTGTCAATCGGTTTTTTTTTGAAAAAAGGTGTTGTAATCGAAAATTGAAACTTTTTGTTTCATTTTTTTCTATTTAACCATGGCATTGGATGAGGAGTTGGAGAAAGATTTTTTTTTCTTATTGAAAAAGTTTAAATCTACTATTTCGATTAAAAGTAGATGTTTGATGTCGGTGTACACATTAAATCAGTATTTAAAATGATTCGATTCAATTATTGAATGGTAATCTTTTCTTAATAGATTTTCTTTCTCTATTTTTTGTTTTCATTTTATTGATTTTAGTTTTAGTGGTTAAAAAAGTTAATCATCATTTGAACAGATGTTTAGCACCTGGCTAGTTAAAAATATGCCAATAAATAAATAATTTAAAAATGTTTTTTCATTGAATAATTCAATTTTTTCAAAATATTTTACGAAAAAAAAACAAAATCAATCAAATCGTCTTATTAATTTTATTAATTTATGTTGTTTTTGTGGTATTATTACGTCATAATCATTCATAGTTAATTAATCACTGACACAAATATGCCTAAACAATTGAATTGGACATAGTTGATTAAAGATTTATTTATTTATTTTGCACGATTCAACCAAATCCTATAAACGCGTACTCAAACAATCAATTTGTAATTAAATTCGATTTAATTGCATAATTTTTGATTATAGAATTGTGTTATCTATTATTAGTTGAAAAATTTTTCTAAAGATAAAGAAAGAAAAATCTTTCATCTCTTTTTTTTTTGATTTTTGATACAATTTTGTTGAAAATCTTTTTTGCTCGAACCAATTGTTATTGGATACAGCAACAACAACAACAAAAAATATCATTTATTCAAATACATTGCACCCGAATAATGGTTTTTTTTAATTTTCTTTTTGTAAAATTTATATTTTCTGATAACGACATTTACTTGTCTCTATTATTTCATTTTATCATCAAACATTGTTCATTTTTAGAATTTTTTTTTCTTATTCAATTGATTCATATTATTTTTTTTTAACTTTTTCCCTGAATAACATAAATGTATAAATGCATTGATCCATATAATAATAATTACTAACATACGAATTTGACACCTTGTTTTGGTTCAATACTTGTTAAAAATTTTATGTGTGTGTGTGTATGGGAAAAAAATAGATCAGTTTTCTACGCATACTGAAATAAAATTATCAAATTTATTCAAATCTTGATAAGAAAATGACAACCAAAATCAATCATCAATCATCAACATATTTTTTGTTTATATTTTATTTTTCATCTTCTTTTTTTTTCCCATTTTCAACTTGTTAACAAAGGATAATAATAAATTGAATCATTCATTCATGATTAAATGAATCATGATAAAATGAAAAAAAAATTCATGAACTTGATGATGAATACACGTGTGAAATTGATGATATCGTGCTTGGTAGTGTTATCTTGAAGATACATATGGTATATTTAGAAATTGATTCATCAATTGAAATTCAATTCGATCAATTTGGAAAAAAGATCAATCTGAAACAAACAATACCTGTTGTTTTGGGCTTTTTAATTTAACACTGTCAATCTTTTTTTTCACAAATATATAAAGTATTTTTCTTTTTTTGTAGGGAAGGGGGAAGATGATGGTCGTCGTTATTTGACCGACTTTTTATATTTCATATTATTTTCAAGCTTCTAAATAGAAGACTGAAAAAAAACTACAACCGATAAAATTTTCTGGTACAACATTAGATTGCCAAACATCGATTTCGATGATAATAATGATGATGATGGTGTGTGGTTTATGATTGAATCTCATTTTTTTACCTTCTTCACGGAAAACAAGTTTTTTTTCTTCTTCTTTTATTGTTGTTATTTTGTTCATCAACATTCCACCAGTTTAAGATAACATTACATTATTTTTTTCATTCGTTCGATGATTTCATTTGAAAAAGTCTTATTTTTTCACTCTATTATAGTTTGATTTTCATCACTCACACACCTGTATATATAATTGAATACATTCGACACTTATTAATATTGTGAGAAATTGGTGAAATAGAGAGTGGCCAATTTTTTCGTTTCTTCGGTTAAAATAAAAATTTTCGCATTTTGTTTTTTTTATTGTAAAAAAGTGAAAATTTTAACCGGATACCAGGATAGAAAATTTTTCCCCTTATCTCAAGTTGTGAAATTGGGAAATTTTCTTTTTCAAACCACCACAATAAATATAAACGTTTTCCAATTTCAATCGGATTGATGATCGTTTGTGTAATGTAAAAATATATAAGTCAACACAAACCATCATCCATTATATGACGGAAA